GAAACAGCGTGGCATTTTTTAAAAATGGCCTGTGAGCTACCAGGAACAGTGGAGAACGTTGGTTGTCTTTAGCACCATTCAAGAGACCGAGAATGCAGGCTGTATTGTATGCAGACAATGGCGTTCTCGTTAAATACCGTGATATCTGTCCGCAGTCCCGCCACTGCCGGCAAGAAGCATCGCTCGCTTGGCCAGCAGTAGCCGAACTCCCCCATGCGATGTTTGTGAACATTCCCAGCGGTGCGGTTTTAGTGAGGGAAGTGAAAACTCGGCTCGAATGGGGGAAGATACTTCACACGTGGGCTGGAGATGGTACAGCACGGGAAAAATGGAGTGCCGCACCTCTCGGGAGTTGTGTTGGCCCAAGACACGGCACTGGAAGAGGACTTGGATGCAAGATGGCTGGAAAACAGGCAGCGGGGCTGGAGGGAAAGGCTGCAGCTCCTGCTCTGGGTGCACTTTGCAGAGGTCTCAATCTCTGGCATCAGCCAAAGGGCCCCAAAGATCCCCGATGCTTTGCAGAGCTACTGATGTTTGCACAGACCATGTGCAGAGTCCCTCCCCCGTTCTAAAAGGTTGACATGCATCTCGTAAGGGCTGGTGGGGAGAGCATTCAGCTAAAATAGGTGGGTATTTTGGGATTGCAACCTTGCCTTTTGATCTCCCCACTTCCCTTCTGGAGAGCGTCTCCAACATGGACTTTGACCATCAAGCTCAACACCCCGGTGCAAAACAACTGTATTCCAGCAGGACCAGCAGCCTGATGGGAATCCAGGAAGCGGCCTTCCATTCTACCCAAGAGGCTTCAGGGGAACACAATAGAGGCCAGGAAAGAGAGGGACGGAGGAGACAGAAGTGCTGGGGGAGCCTTACCCAGAGCGTAAGTGAGAAGGGCACGTGACTGCTGGAAAACTGTGCCAAGGAAGGATGGGAACTGTAGGACGCGGGCAGCAAAACGCCAGTGAGGCCAAGCAGTCTGGGAACGTGCCATCTTTGAACTAGCCAGCCAAAGCACCAGCGACCTACTACTGATGATTTTATCATGTTCCGGAAGACTCATTCTTACCCTAATGAAGGCAAAGGACAGGCAGAGGGACCCAAAGCCAGGAATCATGCACCCCCAGGAAGCACCCGGCCACCACAGAAGGAAAAGGCACAATTTGGCCACATTTAGACAGGCAAAAGACGGGCCAACTCCAGCATCAGAAGCTCTTGGTTTGCACCCCTGGGCCAGCTCAGCCTCCAATTCCATGCTTGAACACACATGAATGCAGTCAAGCCTCGAGCAAATGGGGGAAGCCCCCAAAGAACCAACAGTGGGCAAGATCCAGACCACAACCTTGAGGGGGCTTTGATGCCCCTGTGAGGGAGCCCAAGATTCGGGGGTCCCATGGTATCTGACACACTTTTGCTCCATGCAAACAGGGTAAATTCAAAAGCTTCCAAGGGGCATCACTCGCTCTCCTGTGTTTGGACTGCAGTCCTGGGCACACCTACTCAGCAGAAAGCGCTGCTGAACTGTTGGAGACTTTGTTCTGCATAAACATGCATAGGATTGCACCAGAAATCAAACGCACTTCATTGGCGGCTTCCGGCTCGCTTTGGTATTCCCCATACGAAGCGTGTGTGCTGAGCTTTGACAGCGGTGCTAGAAATTTGCATTAGAGCAAGGAGGATTTTTTTGCAGGGAGACAGGAGGAGAAAATGAAGCAAAACAGTTCATTAAAATCAGTAAATGCCTGGCTGCACTTCAGGGAAGGGGAACCAGGAGAGCCACCTGCCGCTCCTCAAAGTCTCTGCTATGGCAACCTGGATCCCAGAAGCACAGGATTTCAGCACTGGCCTTCTGCTGGGGGCTTAGGGCTCCGGCTGCGCTGGGGGACACACAACCACAGTGTGACCACACTTTGCAATGCCAGCAGCGGTGCTGATCATCTGCACAAACCCCAGGACTGCTTAGAACACCAGCCTAAGAAGATGGAATACACAAGACGCCAGAATTCAATATCAGGGGCTGCTCAAGGCCACGAATGGCTTCAGAGAGCTAGCTTTCCATAGGGCGGGGGCCAAAGTGGGGGAGGCCCCGCTGCATGTTCCTGTCCCGCAAAAGTCCATATTGTCAGTGTTGTGGGGAACAAGGCCTCCTCTGATGCTTGCTGTGACCTGGGAGGTTGGTAGCAGGGAGATTTTTCATATGGCAAAAAATTAAGACATGGACCCCTGATGCAAGTTTGAGCCAGTCCCATGCAGCAGCTAGAGGGTCCGGGTTGTAGTCCCGTTTGTCCATGGAACTGAATGGGTGACTTTGGGCCCGTTACTGACTCCAAGCCCAGGTTATATGCGAGGCTGTTGGGAGCATCCAGTGGAAAGACTTTGCAAGCAGCTTTGGGTCCCTTCAAGACTGGAAAAGGATAGAGGTAATAATCATGAATGTGGGTTCCAGGTTGAAAAACTCAGCTCCACAACGTTTCACTTCACAAATACGCCTGAGCGTGTGCGAGCCCTTCACGACCACCCCCCAGGGACTTGGGCACACACCTGCAGGCACATACCTGTCCCTGAAGAAGCAACTCCCACCCCCTGTTGATAGTCAGGCTCCTGAACCAATCTGTGTGCCCACTGCTGGCTCACTCTTTTCCATGCACACACAGTGCAGGATTCTGGGCTTAGTGGGCTACACATTAGCCCCATCTTGCACTGGGAGCAATATCTGGATTTTTGAGCTGTACTTTAAATAAGGCAGTTCTCTGCTGGTATTAATATTTCATGCTTAATCACAGAATAGCTGCTGATTCAACCACAGGCAGTGAAATATGTTATTAAAAGTTCCCATTTCCAAATAAGCATTTATTTACCAAGGAGAGGCAAGCGTTCCCGTCACACAGGTGACGATTCTCCTTTTCTCACCTCTGCCCTTGATGGCTCCCAGCTGCAGTTTGCCAGACCTGCAAAGTTCCCAGCAATCTTTCACCCAGCCCTGCTGTCTCTTTCTGGTTTGTGTGTCTGTCTGTTTTTTAATGATGTTAATGGAGACCTCAGCTGGAAAATGATGGTGCTCAGCTTGGAAGGTGCTTGTGGTACAGGCAGTCAGTACTTGGGCCCAAGCACCAAATGCAAACGTTATGCAAATGACTCTTCTTTCTTGGTGATGTGCGTCCTGTTTTTCGGGGAACACCTGAGTTCCCATCCAGGATCCTTCTGATGCCATCTCTCCGGTCTTCCCGCAATGCATGGAAAAGCCTTTTGCTGAGGCTTCTGTGGCCTGGCCTGGCCCGGCTAAATCAGAATCCATTGCAAGAATGCAGAGCAGGAAACTGCCTCAGCCTCCCGGCACTCATAGAATTCACCTGCAAAAGAGGGCCACCAACTCGGGCAGCTTTAAAAGGGGCCGGGCAGACGGTGGAGAACCGGCCCATCTGCCAGTGACTCTGAGTCGGGATTCCAGCATTCTGCACGCCAGAGGGGCAGAGCAGGAGGTGCCCCGTCTGGGAAGCGGCTGCTGTGGGACCGGAATGCTTGGGGACCTGAATCCCCCGCTGTGGGACCGGAATGCTTGGCCTTTACTCTGATCCAGCCGGGCTCCTCTTGCGTTCGCACTGCGGTGGAGACGGACCGCTGGGTTGCATCCATTCCGCCTGCATTTTGGGGATAGCCCGGCATCCTTCGTTCTGTCCTCCACTCATTGCCTGTCTGTGGAAAACCTCCCCCCCCGCCCCCGCCCCCGCCCCCTGAATCTGCAGGACCCAGAAACAGCTGGTCCGCTCTGCTGGGGGGGAACTGCAAAAAATAAAAATAGAGAAAAAGAAAAAGCCAAGAAAGCCCCAAATGGAGGGCCATTTGGAGAGGCCAGGCTGGGTTTGGCCCGCCCGCCGCTGGGGGCTTGGCACCCCGGCCCTCAGCCTTGCGGCGGGCAGGTCCACACGACCGGCCAGCGGCGGGCGCGGGCGGCCTCGCGTCCCCGGTGCGAGCGCAACGCTGGCGGGCGGCGCAGCTCCGAGGCTCCGGCACCCTCGGCTCAGCCGCGCGCCTTGCGGGCTCGGCCCAACCCCCGCCGCCCCCGGGCGGAATCGGGGTGGGAAGCCCGGCGCGACCCGCGCGGCTCGGCCTCTCCGGCGGGCCGATCCTCGCGGCCGCCGCTCTCCAGACCGGGCGGGGAATCCGGAGACCGAGCCCGGCCCGCCGCGCTCCGCGGCGCCCGGGAACTTCCTCGCCCCTCCGAGGGGCGTCCTGGCCTTGCGCAACGAGGGCCGGGAACGCGCCCCGGGAGGAGGAGGGCGCCTCGTGCCGGGCGCGGGGAGGGGACGCGGCCCCGCGCCGCCCTCGCTCCCGGGCGAGGTCCCGCAGCCGGGAGCGAAAAGAGCCGGGAGACGTCGCGGGTGGCGGGCGGGGGGGCACCCAGGCCCGCGCCTCCCCGCATTTGTGCCCCCGGCCCCACCGTGCGAGCCTCCTGGCACGGCCTGCCCGGGCTGAAGCCCCCTCCCCTTTCCCAAGAAAATCAAGATAAAATAAAATGGGACCGATGCGAGCGTCCCGGACCAAAGCGCAAGGCGCCCGACGCGGAGCAAGAGGCGGACGACTCGGAAGCCCCCCGCCCAGAGTCACGTTGCAGCAGGATCGCCCCCTTTCCCGAACGGAGCTCCCGGTTTACTCCCGGGTAAGTCAGTCCCCCGTGTCCCAGGGCTTGCTCTCGGGAAAGGCGCGCAGGATCGCAGCCTTCAAGCCCCCTGCCGGGCTTCGCCAAAGGCCGGGATGGATACGCAGCGGTGGCGGTCGTGCCGCCGCCTGAATCCCCCCTTCCCGCTTTCAGCCCCGCGCCCTCCGCAGCCGGACCGCTGCTCCCGCACAGCCCCCTCCCCGGCTGCCCGGCTGCCGCTCCCGCAGCCCCACGCCGAACCGGCTCCGGACCGCCGCGCCGGAGGAGAAGGGGAGGGCGGCGGCGCAGGGGAAGCACTCCCGCGGTCCGGGCGGACAATGGACCGGCTCGCCGGCCCCTCACTCACCAGCTGGTCCTCCGGAGCCGCCTCGCCGCCGCCGCCGGCCTCGCCATCGCCCGCCTTGCTCGGGGACTCGGCGGCGAGACGCAGCGCCTGCCTGACGCGCCGCTCCTGGCGCTCCCGCAGCAGATGCAGCTCGCACAGGCCGGCCAGGGTGCCTTCCAGCCAGCCGCGCAGCCGGCCGCGCTCGGGGCTGGAGGGGAACGAGAACGCCCGAATCATCCTTCCGCAGAGCTCCGCCGACGGACGGACGGACGGCCGGCCGGCCAGCCTCTCGCTCCGCGAAAGCGCGGCGGCGCAAGAGCCTCGGCCACTGCGCCCGGCCGCCGCAGCCCGGGCGCTGTCACCGCCTCATCTGCATAGCGGCGCCCGTTGGCCAGCGCGCCGGAGCGCATTTGTGTACCAGGCCCTTCATTGGCCCATGGCCACGCCTCTCATTCAAACCATTGGTCCCCCGCCCACACCCTCGCTTTGCATAATTTCTGCCAGGGAAGAGCCATTGGCCTGCCGGGCTCCGCTTTATTTACACAGCCGCGCCCCCCGTCGGAATTGGACTCGCATGGCCGCGCCCAGAACGGGGCACGCTGGGCTACCTGAGACGCGTTATTTGCATGGCCGCGCCCTCCACTCAAGCCATTGGCTCTTCGCCCTCGGTTTCTCCGCTTTGGCCACACCCCTAAGCCGAGTGATTGGCTCGCACGGGGGGAAAAATCCAAACCGAAACGGTTGAGTCACACCGTAGCTCCGCGCCATTGACTCACCTGCCATGCTTCGTTTGCATAATTGCCTGCGCTTTCCGCGATTTGCATGCCGGGCCCGTTGATTCAAGCCATTGGTCCGTGCTTGCCCCGTATCTGGATAGCCACGCCCTGCAGCCATGCCATTGGCTCGCTAGCCCTGACTTATCTGAATGATCGCAGCCCCGATTCAAGCCGAGGATGCCGCTGAACTCCGTTATATGCGATCAATCATCCAATTCAATCATCAAGACCGCCGGGACGGAATGACGCGCCAGTGAAGTCAAATTTAAACTTTTCTGGTGTTCTTCCCTGCAGATCCCCCGCACCCGCCGCTTTTAATCGTCACTTTGAAAGCGGAGGGGATATACATGGGGAACAAGTTGTGGGGGGCTAGAGCTTAGTACCCCCTTTTCTGCAATGGGATTTTGGCCCCAACGACTAGGTATCAGATGCAGAGAACATCTCGTGCTCAAAGAAACCAAGAGTTTCTTATATACTGCCCTATAGCTGAAGCTCTTTGGGCAGTTTGTGTATATTAAAGGCTTAAAATCCATTCTAAAAACTATAAACATGCAAACATGCAACACAGAGAGAGACATCTATCTAAAAACCAATTTTAAGCTGTCTTGCGGCCCTTGAAAGGCAAATACATTCAGAATGGCTTGAGTTTTTGTGGAATCCGCCTGCATTTGAGTGCTTGTCCGCCCCATGAGTCTGCGTCTAGCTGTCTCAGCGGATGCAGGCAACGTGACGTTCTCCAGAGGTTTTAGCCTACGACTCCCATCATTCCACACCTTTGGCAATGCCAGCTATGGATGATGGGAACTACAGCCCAAACCCTCTGACGGACTGCAGGTTGCCGTCTCTGCTGGAATCTGGCGTAGTCGGAAAGAGCATCTTTCCCGTCCTTTGGGAACAGGACAGCTGCAAAGGGCAGGCGGGTGGCTCCTTTGCTCAAGGAGGTTTCCTGAGGCCGTAAGCAGCCCCACGTTAGACCCGTGTCCTTTCCTCCCACCTTCTCTGGTGACACCCAACTGGGGAAGCCTGGCACAAGGACGGGAGCGCAGTGAGGGAGAGAGAATGCCCCACCCTATACCCTGGAGGAACAGGGTATCCTGGGTCCCTAACACACGGACACCCCTACCAAGGCATTTCTTTCTGTGCCACGAAATTATTGGCGGAGATATTAACAACAGATCTCCTTTTCTGATGAATCCCTCGGCAGGAGCAACCCCAGCAGGGTCCAGAACGTGAATGTCAACATTTGCGCCACTACGCAGGCTTGTGATGGCCGTGGCTGGCAGGCGGCCTTTGGGGTCCAGGCACCCCAATCCAGGCTGCCAGAGGGAAGCGCTAAGACTCCCACATAACAGATTCCCAATTTCCAAAGCTCTTGAGGAAGACCGAGCTGCACTACAGAGCTAATTGTCATGCGGTAGCGGCGGCAGCAATGACTCTGAAAATGTGGGCAAGAAGAGTTTCTTGGGTTTTTTGCGTTTGCAGCAAAAAACACAGATTAGCCCCGTACATTTTGGAAAGGTTAATGGTAAAAATATGAGCACAGAATGTTTTGAATTTAAATGAGATGGGTTTATATTACTCTGTATCTTCGCTCTCTCTGCTGTCCAAACTTGCAGCCAGCAGAAGAAAGTTAGTCCTTCTGATAGGGTAGCTGTCAAAAACGGCTACTCCAGCAAACGGCCAACGCTTGTGTCCAGAAACTGGGATTCCTATATGGGCGGTGAAGCGGCCTCATGACTATGGGGCAAACCGGGCCGTTCCGGGGGCACTGCACTGCCTTCCCCAGGCCCTGCCTCCTTCCCCCCGCCAGGAGCTTTTCGGGGTCTTCCTGGCTTTTTCGCAGCCCCCCCCCCCCCACACCTATCCTAAAAGGTTGAAATCAGAGGTTGCAGAGATGCAACGGAGTCACTGCGTCTCCACCAGGGATTCCTCAGCGGACCAACTCTCCCAGGCCGGAAAGGCATCGCCTCAGTCTGCCCCATTTTTCCTATCCTGGCACAGATGGGGGGCAGGAACGCCGCTCCGTGCAGCGTGCCGACTCTGGCAAGAGAGAGACTCAGGCGGACGAAGGGGAGACACACCCAGGCGGCTCCCAGGCAAAGTTGTTGTGGTCGCGTTGTGCCCCATTCGTGACTTTCATCTGGACACGGACAGCTGCCTTCCTCTTCGGTCGCTTCTTCCCACCACGCAGCCCGTTTCCAGACGGAGGGCTCCTGGCGCTACGGATGAGGAGGCGCCGTGTGGCGATCCGGGCCCCTTCGCTCAGCAGATTTTCTGCAGTGAGAAACCAGGCAGGAGAACATAGACGGGCTGTGCATGGAAGACGTCGAATCATCTGGAAGCACCCGGAAATTCTGAGCATGAGCTGGGGTGATGGTTGGATCAGTCCAAAGAGCCCTTGAGGGGGAAAGCCCAAGGGAAGGGCCTTTGTCTGTGGAATGGTCGCACTAGGAAACTTCCATCTTGAAATCTTGAAGCCCCCCCCCCCCCCGCACAAAGCACCGCTTCTCCGTTTTCCCCACGGCTGCAGCCTCTCGTTACATCTGGACTCCTCCGCTGAACGGCTTCACACAAGCTGGGCCGAGATCCGGGGCCCCTGTGCGACGGAGCCGCTGTTTCGGGGCGTCTCTTAGGGCAAGCCACCCTGCGCGAGGGTGGCTCAGTCCCGCCCTCACGACAGACCTGGGGGGCTGCTTTCAGTCACTGATCTGGCTTCGCACAGGTGGGGGGATAGAATTGCGAGGGCAGGACCAACCGCACCGAGCGTTTGTGGCAGTGTGGCAACGGTCCAGCGGGCGTGCGAAAGGGGCTGGCGGAAGTGTCAGGGACGAGGCAGGGTAGCAACAATGGTTTATAAATGGTTGTGATAATAATAGTGCGAGCAACGTAGCCATGGCGATGGAGGGGGTGGTAGCCATGGCGATGGAGGGAGGGGCCGGCTCCCAGCGCTTGCAAGGAGGAAGGAGCAGCGCTGGCCTGGGGGGCGCTGGGGGGCGCTGGGGGAAGGCCAGGCCAGCCATGCCCCCCGGGGGTGGTGCGGAAAAATACCTGTCTCTTCTCACCCTCCCCTGGTCACGGGGGGGGGGGGGGGATCTGCAGGGCGCCGTGGGCCGCACCTGTCAGCCGAATTGAATTGAATTGTCGTCGCTGGTGTGACCAGCGCAGATTCTAAGGACCGATGACGGTGTGGGCCTGAAATTTCAAGCTCCGGGACTCAAAATGTCTCACATAAAGCCTACCAGGGGGTGTTGGCGATGCAAACGCGTTTATCCGTCCGAGAGGCACACACGACCCCCCCTCACACGTGTCCCATGCGCACTTGCACGCCTTTAAACCGGCTTTCCCCAACCTCGCGCCCTCCAGGTCCCACCATCTTCCAGCTTTTCCCATTAAACATGCAACTGCTTGTGTGTCGCTGCTGCTGCAGGCACAGCCCACTCCCTCCCTCTACTCAAGAGTAGCTGCGTGGCTGCTTGGGACAGAACTCCAGAAGGTCTCCGGAGGACGGGCACCCCCTGCCAACCTGACCAGCAGTGCTGCCATCAACGAAGGACCCACCTTGCTGTGGGGCAGAGCTCTGAGAGAGACCCCTGTTTTGCACTGCACAGTTCCTGGTTTGACCCCCGGCAGCACAGGTGGGGCAAATGAGACCCATTTGCTTCCCGAAAAGCTGCTCCTGGCCCAGGTGGAAATGCCTGGAGCGCCACAATGAGCATCTTCCTTGCAGAACTGCGCATGGCACGGGGCACAGCAGGCGGGCAGCTGGCCACCAAGAGCCGGTCAGAGAGCCACCAAGTCCTGTGCCCCGCCGGCCCGGGCCCTCCAGGCAAAGGCTCTCCTGAGGTCCGCCTTGGCCCCAGGGCTCAGCAGGGTGTAGAGCACGGGGTCCAGAGCACTGCTCAGGCTGGACAGGGCCAGGAGAGAGAGAAGGGGAGCTGGAGGCGCCGCTCCCAGGCGCAGAGCGAGCGGCAGTCCGAGCGGGAGAAGGCCAGGCTCCGCGCCAGCAGCAGGACGTGGCAGGGGGCGGAGCAGAGCAGGAGGATGGCCGTGACGCCCAGGGACAGGTGCCGCACCTTGGCCTTCCGGCAGCCCAGCGGCGTCTCACTGGCCTGCACGCTCCGGGCGACCTTCAGGTAAGAGATGCCCAGGATGAGAAGAGGAGGAGCCAAGCCGGTGGCCACCCGGAGGTAGTTGAAGGTGGCCACTCCCGGCTGCAGCGGGTAGCTGTCGTAGCAGGAAGCGCCCTGCAGGCCACCTGCGCGGGACGAGGTGGCCAGGTGGGACAGGAAGACCGGGAGGGCCACGGACGCGCAGGCCACGGTGGCGGAGAAGCGGCTGCGCGAGCCCAGGGAGCGGAGGGGGTGCGCCACGGCCAGGTAGTGCTCCAGCGAGACAGCGCACAGCACCACGATGCTGACACGTATGTTGGAGTGGAAGAGGAAGCCGGCCCCGTGGCACGCTGGGCCGCCCAGGGGCCACTGGTGGTTGTGGGACACACACACCATCCAGAGAGGCCAGGGGGAGAGGCAGAGGATGTCGGCGACCCCCAGGCTCAGCAGGTAGATGGCCAGCACGTTCCCGAGGTGCACCTGCTGCAGCAGCGGCCTCAGCATCAGCCCATTGGTGGCCAAGCCAAGCAGGAAAATGGCGCCGGAAAGGCAGAGCACGGGGGTCCTGCCGGACTGGAAGTCCACGCCGCAGCGGGATGCCGACGGAGCGCCTGGGCAGGAGGATCCATTTGCGGTGTTGCAGGCATCAGGCGAGCCTGGAAGGAGAAGTCTGACGGGTGGAACCACTGCAGGACGAGACAGACGGAGCACCAGCACGCATCCGAGCGCCTGTGAGGGGCACCACAAAGGCACACGGCATGTCGGGTTCTGCTGGGGGCCTCAGCTCTGCTTCACCTGAGGTGGGGGGCTCCCCTTCCGGGGCAGTGAGAGGATCCCTGGACTGCACAGGCCCCGCTTCCCCTCTACTAAACGTGAGCCAGCAGTGTGACGTGGCGACCAAGCGGGCGAACACCACTTGGGAGGCAGAGCCAGAAGCGTGGCTTCTCGTCAAGAGAGGGACCACCGCCACTTGATGAGACTCTGGTGCTCCTGCAACTGGAGTGTTGAGTCCAGTTCTGGGCACCTCATTGCAAGAGGGATGTAGCAAGGTTGGAATCAGTGCAGCGAAGGGCCGCTGGGACGGTGGCTGGTTTGGAGGGGAAGCCGCATGAGGAGAGGCTGAGGGCGCTGGTCTTTTCAGCTTGAGAGGAGGAGACTCCAAGGGGACCTGCCAGCGACATGCAGGTACGCGAGGGGGTGCCACGCAGAGGTGGGTCCTGACCATTTTTCCCCTGCAGTGGAGGGCAGGATGCATTCCAACAGAGCCAAGCTCAGGGAACCAAGATCTAGGATGGATGCCAGGAAGTACTTCCTGCCGGTTAGGCCCCCCAGGGCGTGGTATGGGCTTCCACGGGAGGCGGTTGAGGCCCCAACGATGAGGGTGTTCAAGGACAGGCTAGACATGCACATGGTAGGCATGTCATGAGCAGAACTGGGGGTCAGACTAGATGAACCAGGAGGCCCCTTCTGACTCACTCTGCTTCTGTGTTTCTACTCTGAAAGGTGGAAAGAATTAGACCTGGCTGTGGTGCAGAGGAACCGAAATAACTGGAGAATCTCCCCCAAAACCTCCAGCTTCACACTATGACCAATTCCAATTTTCTGCCTTCTAAAATGTGGCATGGGAAAGGAGAAGTAGCTTTCTTGATGCCGACGTGCAGCCGAGGAACTGCGGTTTAAAATAGAATCCCTTTATTAGAAAAAAGGAGTAATACGCACACACCTCTCACATTTACGGCAGAATAGGAAAAAAACAGAATTGACTTGCCGTATTCGCTAGCGGAGGGTCTGTCTGAGTGCACAGACTCATGTAGGGGGTGGGAAAAGACCCTTGGACCCTCGAATGAAAGCAGAGCTCAGTGTTTGGGGCGAGGCTGTGAGACACCAGTGCATTTTGCCAGTTCCCACACCTGTTTCCATATGTTTTGAACTATGACATTTCTAAACTTGCCAGTGCCTTATCATGAATCGAAGTCCTCCCCCTCTCCTAACATCGCTGTTGACACTTTTGCCAGTGCCAGAAAACTAAAAAAACCCAATTTTTCCCTGGATATCATGAATATAGAAGGTGAGTCAGAAGCAGACTCCCTGGAACCTCTTCCTCAGGGTCCCTCTGGCTCAAACGAGGCCCCCAAAGCCAGCCTTGGACGAGGCCTGTGGAAGCAGTCTCTGGCCAGGTCCAGGCAACGCTCGTTTCCCTTAGCTGCCCCTCCTATACCTGTCGATATCATAGAAGGCCACCTGTCCGCGCTGTGCCGATCGGAAAGCAGGGGCCCAGAGCAGGTTCATACAGGCTTCTGTCTCAGAGAAGCTCAGTTACGGCACCTTTTCAGCTTCTGACTTCAGCAGTGAGAGCTCTCCGTGAAAATATGGCACTTTCGGCCCAGGACTTTTCCTCTCTGGCCCAGCCCACCCCGGCACGGGCCCCCGAGGGAGCCTGCAGATGGGGAGAGCTGAAAGAGGCTCCACACCCTTGCTTTGGGGCTCGGAAGCATGTCGGGTCCAGGGCACTGGACTGCCCAACGGAGAGACTGGGCCCCGGCCAGGACCAAGAGCGGCGAAGAAGCAGGTGGCAGTGGAGACGCATGGAGCGAGTCTTTCGGCCGATCAGGCTCGTCTCCAGCACCAGCCCGGGCAAATACACGGCAGACCGTGGTGTCCGGCTTTCCCGATTGCACAGCCTGTGCACCGGTTTCGGCGAGGCCTTTCTGGGCAAGAGAGGGCCATCCGAGCCCCAGCCTTGCTGCAGAGCGGCTGAAAAAGCAGAGCCGTGCCTTTGTGGATCCGGGCACAGCCTGCACCGCCTTCCTCCTGCGCAATCGCTGCTAGTTTGACCGTGCCCAGGATCAGACGTTCCTGAGCTCTTACACCAGACTCTTCCAGGCCCCTGCCCTAAACCTGCCCCCCCCTTCACTAACTCCATTCTTGGCAGCTGTATCCATTCTAGACAAGCAGACGAAGCCCCAGCACCTCCCAGAGCACCTGCCTCTTTGCATATTTACCAGGTAGCTTTTTCGCGTGACGCGAGACGCTTGCACGTGGGCGACTGCGAGTGAGGAGGCGGCGCTGGGGTGGTGGCCGTCACCCTGCCGCCCCTCCAGGACACGGCACATGCCCATGCCAGGCACTGCGGGTGCCGCCCCTGGCCAACATCTTGCCCACAAGGCAGAGGCACACGGCTTTCCTACTGAAATTGTAGCCATCATTTCCACGTTTCCGCTCTGTGCATACAGAGCAGCCTCCACAAATGTCACGCCAATTAGTGCCTCCTTTTCGCCTTCCAGTTTTGCTCATCAGTGGCCCATCTACCCGCCTGAAGAATTCCCAAATGGGAAAGCGCGAATCAGGTGCGGAGGGCGCAGAAGCTGGCTCCGTTTTCCTAAATGCTGCAAATGATTAGTTCAAGCAGGGGCAGATCAAATTCCTTTTCCCCTGCCAGCCACTGCAGCAAGTTAAAAGGCCACGATTCCGTGCAGGGCCTCAGTGGAAAATGCCTCAGCGCATCAGCCACGATCCCGGATTGTGTCCTCGCTCCCAACCCCCGTGTGCTGCCCGGCAGAGATGAACATTTAATGTTCACAGACCGGTAAGAAGCCAAGATTCCTTACAGATGCATTGAAGTCAGGCATATAGCAATATTGCCAACAGATATAAAAAGGAGGACCTTTCTTTTTCTATCACAGCCAGCCGAGGATGATGGGAGCTGTAGTCCAAGGGATCAGTACAGTCCTGGTTTTGTAACCAGGTTTATGTGGCCAGCTACTGCATTCAAAGGTATCTAACCTCTGGAACGAATTGCTGTACTGTCTTCCGGGCAAACATGATCTTGCCTTCACAATAAGCACAAAGGCAGCGCACATTTTTTTAAAAAAAGAAAAGCATCCACCTGGGCAAACCCCTCTCGCCAGATCCTTACCGTGCGGAGGGGGACCGCAGCTGGTTGGTTTTGCCTCTGGGGGCAAAGGACTGGCCCCGGGGCTCTGGAGGCACATCCTGTCAGCCTCCTGCTCCACCGGTGGACCCTCCCTGCCTCGCGTCTGCTGAGGGAACCGGCAGCCGCCGCGGGCTCAGCACCAGCCCAGGAGCAAGACCGCCTTCTGCGGCCTTCCTGTGCCGCCCCACCTCCCGTCACCGAGGGGCAATTTCGGCGAGCTCCCCCACACGTCACGGGCTGCATGCTGGAAGCAGCCTTCTGAGCGGCACAGCGAGCGACATCCCCAGCAGGCCGGGCGCCATGCAGCCACAGCGGAGCCATTTCCACCCCCGGAGTCAGGTGTGTGGGTGTGCAAGTGGCACAAACGTCATTGCTCTTTTGCGTGGCGGAGTCCCAGTAAGGGGCACCAGCCAGCACTCACCTGTCACTGTTCCCCGAGCTGGTGCCCCCCATCAGCCTTGCCGAGAGCCCACTTCATTTCCCCCCCTTCCCTCCCCGTGCCTTTTCCTTGTGTGCCATGTCTTTTTAGTCTGTCAGCCTCCAGGCAGGGACTCCTTTTGGCCCATCGGGGACCAGGATGCAAATACCGTGAGCATGCGTGAACAGGCTGGGCCCGGGAAAGGAGGAGTCCTTCGGGGGAAATTCAGATTTAGTCACCGAGCCTTGGCTTCAACTGCAGCGGGACTCAGGACACCGGAAGGCAGCACTGCAGAAGGCTTCCTAACAGCCCTGCAAGGCAGGCCTTCCTTCCCCCCATTTTTCAGAGGGGGAAAGTGTGGCCCTCCCGGAAGCTGCCATGAGCTTCGGCAGGAGGAGAGGCATCCCCGGGCCCCCGACACGCCTGCTCCCCCTTGGAGGCCGTCCCTTTGGCTAGCTTGGGGCCAGCCTGGTAGCCATGCTGCCCATGCGGCTGCTCGCCTGGTTCAAGCCCAGGGCATTTCCACGGTTCCGGGAACAAGCTGCATCCGAAAATAGCAGTGTGCGCGACAGGAAAAGTGCGTGAGCCGGCTGAATCAGAGGCGGCGGCGGCAAGTTTACAAGAGTCATCGATAGAAACCCCGATAAACAGAACAGGCGAACGGCTTTTGTGGAACTTCCTAGAACGATTTCAGCTGAAATAGACGTGCGTATTCAGTGCCGACAAGTGACACAGAACCAAACCTGGCTGGGACTGAGCAGTTTCGTGGTAATGGGGGCTGGAGAGCGAGGAGACACCGAGCCCTCCCACGTGTGCGAGGGCCAAAAGTCCTCTCAGCAGAGATGCCTTGCAGGGGCCAAGCTAGCCCCGCTCTGCACCTAGTTTTTGATTGCTTTTTATTTCCTCTTCAAGGGGATCAGATAAGGGTTCCTAAGCACCCTACCCTGGGGTGGTCAATGGGCATAGAAACAGAGCGAGTCAGAGGGGCCTCCCGGGCCATCTAGTCTGACCCCAGCACCAGCCGGCTCCACTCATGACATGCCCACCATGTGCACGTCCAGCCTGTCCTTGAACACCCACACCGGTGGGGCCTCAACCACCTCCTGTGGAAGCCCATTCCACACCCTCGGGGAATAATAATAACTGCCAGGAAGTACTTCCCGGCATCCACCCTAAATCTTGGTTCCCTGAGCTTAGCTCCGTTGGAACGCATCCTGCCCTCCACTGCAGGGGAAAAATGGTCAGGACCCACCTCTGCGTGGCACCCCCTCGCGTACCTGCATGTCGCTAGCAGGTCCCCTCAGAGTCTCCTCCTCTCAAGCTGAAAAGACCAGCGCCCTCAGCCTCTCCTCATATAGCTTACCCTGCAAACCATCCGCTGTTTTGGGGCTCAAGCCCTTGCCAGCTCCAGACAGCACAGGGATGAGGTTCCGTGTAGAGCTGGGGGCCACGACATCCGCAAGGCCCCCGCGCGCCACCCCGGCCTTCCCAGTCAGTTCCTGGCACTCTGCTCAAGCCAGGTGGGCCAGGTGGCACCTCAAGCCCCATCCCCTGAACTCTGGAACGGCTGCCAAGGAAGAGGGGCCCCGTGCCTTGGCTAGTTAGCAGGAAGACATCTCTACCAGGAGCCGAGAGACCGGCTCCTCGCTTCGCAGGACGCGCCAAGCAGGCCAACACCTGGCCCGGCCTTCCAGCTGCCGACGCTCCTCCTGGGCAGCCCATGCCCACTAATGCCGTGGGTGCCGCTGGTGCTGCAAGGCCCAGTTCTCTCGTTGAGTTCCTTCACGTCCTCCGGGTGCACCCTAGCAGCCCTCTGGATTAACCCAGGAACATGCAGGGGGTTCACCCCCTCGGTGCCAAGCCCTGCTGGGGCCAACGGCCTGTACTGGAATGTGTGCCTAGCGGCCCCCCTACTCTGGAGAGCACCCCGCGATCTTCAAAGCCTTCCCCCTCCGTGCCAGCGTCGTGATCGAGAGCGGCTGCACCGCACCCACTTTCAGGAATGCAAGAACAAGCAAGGGGGGCAACATCTTCGCCCCATTTGTGTTCAAGGGAGGTTCACCCCCCGCCGCCGCCGCCCCCGTCGAGACCCAGTCTGGCGGGAGATCTTGGCGCGGACAGCCCCCCTCACCGCCCGAGCAATTCAAGGCCTTCCGGTGGGGTCTATTTCCAAGCCAGGATCCGGATTTTATTTACAAGATAGCCCATGTGTCTGTGCAAGCAGGGTACGCGGCAGCTCCACGCGGTGGCGCCCGGGCGCAGCGGCCGGTCCGCTCCTGCCTCCAGCGGGATGGGGGCGCTCCGTTTCGGGGCGCAGGGGCCGGGGCGGCGCAGCGCCATCCGCCCACGGGCGGCGCGGGGCGCGAGGGCAGCGGCCTCCCGGGACGGCGAAGGGGCGCAGCTCCCACGCGGCCGCCGAAGCCCCGGAGATCCCGGCAGAGCGCCGCGGGCTCGGCTTCCCCCTAGGCCGGCCTTTCCAGGCGCGGCAGACCACAGCCCCCATCATCCCCGCCCGCTGCCCATGGGAGGAACGCCCCAGCGCATCTGGAGGGCGCCAGCTGGGCCGGGTCCTTCCGTTCCGCCCTCCTTTGCGCAGGAGGCCCCCGCGCGCCGCTCCAGGCGGCCCTCGCCCCACGGCTCGGCTCGGCGCTGCGCCTGCGGGGGAGGCGGGCCGGGGGGACCTCGCCGAGGCGGCTGCCCTGCCCTCCCCTCCGCTCGGCGCCCGGGCTCTGGACGCCCTTGGCCCGCGCGCGAGGAGCCCCGCGGCCGCCCCGGCCCCGGACGGCGGACGCTGCCCGCTGAGCGCTGGCGCCAGTCACGATCCTGCCCCCAATGCGCGGCTACACAGAGCAGCTCCCCACTGCAAGCGGGGGGGCGGGCGCGGGGGAGAGCTCCCCGTCCGCTTCACTGGGAGACCGATCTGACGCCGCCCCAGCAGATCCCAGTCCGGCGGAGAGAACTGGGGCAAGTCCGGAGACGGAGTCCGCTCGCTGGCGCGCACGCTCAGAGCACGCTGACCCTCTCAGCCAAGCCCGTCATCTCGACCTCCCGCCGCCGCTCCTCCTCCTCTTCCTCCTCCAGGCGGCGCACCCGCAGGTGGGCCGGGTAGGGCAGGCCGTGCTCGGCCGCGAAGTGCTCCCAGCGCGCGTCGTCGCTCTCGTGCGTGATGTAGCGCTCGCCCATCCGGCCCTCCAGCTCCCGCAGGTCCAGCCACGTCTGGTGGTCCTGCAGGGAAGAGGCGGCGGGGGGCTAGCTGAGGCCGCGGCTCGGGACGGGCTTCTTCGGCAGGGCCTCCCTCCGGCTGGGACGCCCGGGGGCCACAGGCCATTCTGCCCCCCCCCCTTCTGAAAGGCTGAAATGCCTCGTCACCAGCAGGAAGGGCAGCGGCCAAGATGCACCGGTGCGCTGGCTTCATCTCCCCTGCCTTTGGCCCGGCCCATCTCCCGAACGCGGCCCCGAGAGCTCTCCCCACGCAGCGTTTGGCCCTCGAGCAGAGGGGCGCTTTGCCCCCTCGCTCCGTGCCCTTCTTGCCCCCACCACGCCGCACGGCAGCGCGGCTGATCTGCCCCACCCTCGCTGCGCAGCCTGTGGCAGCGTACCTGTAGCCACGAGTGGCTGAGCGACTTATCGACGCTGAAGCGCTTCCGCATCTTCACCTGGAGCAAGTTGTTGATCAGATCGATGGCTGGGAAGAAGGGAGGGAGAGGGGGAGAGATCAAGGCTGCGCCCCCCACCGGCCCCCCATCTGTGGAAGGCACACGCGGAAGTTGCCAGCCGCGGAATGGGCGTGAGATGCATGCAAGGGTTAAAACCAGCAGGGCCCCTCGCCCCCCCCCCCCCCCCCGCAGACCCGCACCACACTCTGGGAGTCTAGATGCATCTAACGAGGGCAAGCCTCGTTAAAGAAAGCAACCCAGCCGGGTGGAGGAAGCCCAATTCGGGTGAGCCGACTGTGGGGTGGCCCGATGGACCGCGTGGCTCAAGGGTGCCAGCTCCCTTGTCCCCTCTGGGTGCAACTGGGACGAGTCGGGACGCCCTGAAAAGCCACGCGCCCCGAAGGCCCGGCTGGGCCTGCAAACGAACCAGAGGGCAAGTCCCTCTCGCCACCCAAGGAGCCGGTGCCCACGAGCAGCTGCTGCCCCCCCAGATGACTTCCAGTTGTGTCAAAGAAATGGTGCCCAGACCCCCAGGGGTCCAACTAGCCTGCGAAGAAGCCAGCTTTGGAGGCTTCAGAGCTGCTTGGACAAAGAAATCCTGCTCCACAGGAGAGGGTCTGGGAGGGGGCCCAGCCTTGCAGGAAGCGCAGGCAGAGAAATTGTGGGGGTGGCCAGGGCCCCCCTCCCGGTGCTGCTGCTGTGCACTGGGCATGCCGCCACGGACAGGTACCTTCGACCGAAATCTGGCGCCACGGATTGGCTGGGTACATGAAGGCGGCGTTCTGGATCTGGTCATTGATGTCTTCGTCCTCGTTAAAGGGGAAGGTGCCGCTCAGGCTGACGTACATGATGACCCCCACGGACCACATGTCCAGGGAGCGGTTGTAGCCCTGGTTGAGCAGCACCTCGGGGGCCAGGTAGGCCGGGGTGCCCACCACGGAGCGTCGGAACGACTTCTCGCCGATGATGCGGGCAAAGCCAAAGTCACACAGCTTCACCTGCACAGCACCAGAAAACGGGGTCACAGGCTCCGAGGGCCCGCCAGTCCCCTTATGTTAAAACACATCATCCTGCGAATTTCGGCTTGGAAGAGAGCAAGTTGCTAGTCCTCATGGTGAAAGAGAAATCGCTCAAGACTCACAAAAGTCTTTCTCAAATACTTAGGGAGGTTGGTAGGGCCTGATAGGAACACTGGAAGTTCCGGACATTGATCCCGGGATCCTGCTGCCGCAGTGTGGGGCGGCCTGCAAAAGCTGCGGCCGCTTCCCAGGCCCGCCCCCCTCTCCTCGCAAACGAATCAGCCCGAAATTCTTCCTCAGCTCGAGGGGAGCACAAGGCTGACCACCAGCACCCTCAAGAGGAAGTGATGGCGAACAAATCAAAGGCAGGATTTCATGCTGATGTTCAAACACACATCTTATCTTCCAGAAACATTATTATGCACAAGGGAGCTGCTTTGGCAAAGAAGCTTGGCATCTCTGCGTAATGCCTGGCATGGCGCCGGGCTGGGGACCCTTGCCCAGCCCAGGAGCCCAATCCAATTTCAGGGACGGGGCAAATGTCCCTATTCAGAGTCTTCTTGCGGGAGATTCGGGCTGGCGAGAGGCATTTCGAGCTTGGAGGAGGAGAAGAAAGCGGCACAAAAGCTGGGGAAGAGCCGGTGGTCATTCTGCAAGGGTGGGGGCCAGGGAAGTGATGCAGCATCGCAGGGGGCCGCGTGGGGTGGGCCGAACTGCAGCGGCCCTGCACTCCAACTGGCCAGGGCAGCTCCACTAGGGCTTCCCGCCCCACAGACACGCACTCTTGCCTGTCTGCCGCAGAGTGAAGTCTGGGCCGCGGGGGAGCTCACCTGGGGGAACGGCTCGGCGGACGCCAGCAGGACGTTCTCCGGCTTCAGGTCGCAGTGCACGATGCTCTTGAAGTGCAGATGCCGCAGAGCCACCAGGATCTGCAAGGGGAGGGATGCAGAGGGGTGGGGAGGAGCGGGGCGGTAGTGTCCCACTGCCCGATCCCACCCCCGGCGGCTCCCCGGCGATGAATGCGTGCTGTCCAGCCCGCGGCCCCGCCGAGGCAGCCTTCCCAGACAGGCTGGGCCGCTGGCAAGCCATCCCTCCTGGTCTGGCGGCCCTGCAGCGGCTGCAGCCCAACGCTTTTAGGAAGGAAAAAATGAGCTGTTCTTGGATGGCACAACGAAGCCACCAGGGGTAGGAAAATATCTGGGGGCTGGCTCGGGGGATCAGGATGGGGAGCGTTTTTAATTGTCGGGTCGTGTAGCAGACCAAGGCTCGGAAGAGGAGGAACTGGGTCCGAATCCTTGCTCTTCCTCGGGCGACTTGGGCCAGTCGCCATCTCTCAGCCTCCCCTACCTCGCAGGGCTGCTGTGAGAATCAAGTAAATTGTGCAGGGAGAAGAATGATGCACGTGACTCTTGGAAGAAGGACGTGCTGCAGGTGGAGGAGACTGAACACAGAAGTCCAGCCTTACGTCCGCGGTAAATGCAGGGCGAGCTGAGGGGGGGTACGTATTCCGTCAGCAACTGCGCCTGTCTCGGGATGGGAAGAGCTACTCTAGAACCCCAATCAACAGTTCCACCCGCATCTTTTAGGCAACACAACATCCGCGTGAAACAAGCATCCATATTATTATTGTCAGTATTAATTGGATGCTTTTCTCCGGCATGTTAAAAAGAGGCGTGGCCTGAGTAAAGCTGGGGGGTAAAGTAAAGCTGGGGGGCTCGGCTCATTTGAACTCGATGGACTTTCTCCTGCTCTGAGGACTGGAAGTGGCCCAAGCCGGGGTCGGGGAGGTGTTTCCCACAGATTTCCTGCTTCACGATGGGTTGTGCTTTGCAAAAACAAGCAAGCAGAAAGAAATGTGCAAAACTGTTCTCTCTGTGCAATGTAAATTTGCACTATTTGCATGAACTGGAAGTTGGAAGCGACGTGGGCTGAGCACAGCTCTAGACCCGCCTCGTCGTCAGCCTCCATTTGTGCGGCGACGGTGAGCTGCGCAGATTTCCCCGGCAGAAGCCACCAAGCGGCTCGCCAGACGACGGCGCAGGGCTCGCCGGCGGCCGGATTTTCGCCCCCTTCCGCCTCTTCGCACACCCAGAGAGCCCGGCGAGGACGCCCAGGCGGGGCCCTGCTGCCACCGCGTGGCCACGGGCTGAATTGCACCCTCCACCGTCTCGGGGGCTTGGGTGCAGGGGTTACCTGCGTGATGAGAAACTTGGTGAGCCTCTCGGGCAGCCGCCCCTTCTCCGACGAGAGGATCATTTCCAGCATGTCGCCATGAAGCTTCTCCATCACCACAAAGACTTTTTCCGGCGTCTCAAACATGCACTCCAGGTGCACGATCCCGGCGTGCCGCAGACTCTGCAGGGGGGCAGGAGGAGCGGCAGCTCGGATGTCCGGTCGGCATGGGCGGGCGGCCAGTGACGGAACCCTTCGGCCGCCCCATCTGCCGCACAACACCTGCCGGCTGCCCCCCCCCCCCCGAGGCGGCCAGCTCCCTCTCACCTGCAAGATGGCGACTTCGTTGCGCAGCTGGCTCTCCTGCTGGGTGGGGAAGCGGAGCTTGTCGATCACCTTCACTGCCACGTCCCGCCCGGTCTTCCGGTGCTTCCCTGTGGATCGGAAGAGGAGGTGCCCTCTCAGCTTTCCCACCAACCCGCTCCCCTCTCGGCCCACGTCCCTGCCGTCGGACATGGCGCTGGGCCCAGATCCACTCAGACTTCAGGGCCTAGTCTTGCCTTCCAAGCCCCACTGATTTCAGGGGGTCTGCTCTAGATTCCACCCACAGTGTTTGTCCAACGTACAGAAAATCCGCTGGAAGGAGAGGAAACGCGCACACCAGCGTGACTCACGCACAAGCACAACACACGTGCCTTTCCCTTTCTGCACGAGGATGTTGCACAGACTTTGTCTGAAGCAGTTACTGGCTTTTCTGCAAGATGTCGGCTCGTCTCCCCGACTTTAGCTTTTGTAGGACAAAAGTCAATGCGCTGCGTGTGTCACGCACGGACTGGCAGCGACGGACATGGGCACAATTTAGACACACGCACGGACACACCCCGCGGTGTATGGCATGCAGTTAGCTCAATGCAAGAGAAAAGCCATGGGTAAAAAAAGCATTCAGGCGTCACAGCTTGGGGGCATTTCTATAACCCCCCCACAGAGAAATACTCGTCCATCATTTTCCGGACTTCTTTGGACAGAGCGTAGCTAGCTTTTTATTAAACTCCCCCCATTCCAGGCCAGGTGCAGGAGAGTGGCTTGAAGAGGGGCAGATGGAAATTGGGGTGCAAGATGACCTGTGGGAACAGGTACCAGGCACAGGTGGCTTTCCTCCTGGCCAAGGGTCCTATAACTCCCAGAAAGCCCTCTTAAAACTGCCAGCAGAGCTCAGACAGACCTGCCCAAAAAGCAACCAAGAAATACTCCATCTTTAACAAATGAGGAACGCCAAGAGAAAAACTATGGACACGAAACCAGCCACGGCTGGGAATTGGGGGTGCTTTGTTTCATCACTCACGGTTTTACCAACACAGAGAGAGACAAGAACGGTGGAATCACCTTGAGATCTACCAGGAGACCCTAATCTACATTCTGCATGTAACCCCACTGGCCCTAAATTGCTTGGGGTTATACTAGCCATCAGGAGTCCCCAGAAGCGATTCCCTGAACTGCATCACAAGCCCCAGAATGCTCGCTGCACCAGATTGGAGAACTGCCCCGGCCCCTCGCTCACCTCCATAGACGACCCCAAACTGCCCAGAGCCCAGAACCTCATCCGGGAAGATCTGGTAGACGGTGGAAATATCCTGAAATTGGACAAAGGCATCGTGCCGTTTAGCCTCTTGGCCGGGGGCGGTGAAGGGCCCCATCAGCCTGAGGGGACCACGTGGCCGGGAGCGGGGCGAGCGGGGCTTACGACACGCACCACGTTCTCCTGGATTTGGCTGTTGGACACCGAGATGCGCAGAGACGCCTGTCCTGGAAGGAGAGGAAGCGCCGTCAGGAGCAGCCCCGGGTGCCCTCCAGACCAAGCCCACGCCGGCGCCCCACGGGGAAGGGACCGGCCTCCTGGAGGCAGCTGTGCCACGGAAGACCGCAAGGGGGCGGCCCGCGGCCCGGGCGGAACCCAACCTGCAGGAGGGGGCGAGGCAATACCCAGCCCGTGCGCTGGGGGGCAGCGCAGGGCAAGGACAGGCTCCGAGGGGAGGGGAGGGGAGGGGAGGGGTGGGGGTGCCACTCACGGTGGGGCGCCTGGCCCGGGGCGCCAGCCGCCCCTTGCAGGACGACGGGCATCAGGGCCTGGCGGATGGCCGTCTCCCACGCCCGGGCGTGCTCCAGGCTGTCCCCGCCGTGCGGGTGGTTGCCGGGCACGCCGTTCTCTCCGACGTAGTAGGTGGCCTTGGCCGTGATGATTTCGAAGCAGTGCGGATTGGCGCCCGGCGGCAACAGGGAGACGTCTTTGGCGGTTTCCACTGCCAGGATCTCGGACAAGGGGATCTCCTGCAGGGGTTGGAGAGAGCACCAAAAAATGCCTCTCCCGAGAGGGCCTTCCCAGCCGGGGCCCAGGCAATGCTGCACTGGAGCAGCAACCCACCCCTGCTGCTGGGACACGGCACTCAGCGTCCCCCAGGCAGGCCTCGATTTGAACACCAGAGAGCGAAAACCCTGCAATCTTCTCGTCCTCAAGGCTAGGAAACCCACGGGCCACGCTGCCGAAGCGCACAGAAGCCAGAGAGGGTTAGGAACGGCACAAATGTCCCAGGGACCTGATCCAGTCCGGTGCGGTGCAGCTGTGGGCTCTTGCAAGGTGGGGAACGGAGAGGAGGGGGCAGGAGACCGTTCCCAGGTCCCGCGAATAGCCACCCTCCCCCCAGAAAAAACCAGAAAGGAAGAAAAGAACGAACGGGGGAGCCTCATCTTCTCCACCGCTACATTCAGGGCTGGGCTAAACATGTCAGAGATGCACCCCACTTCTTGGCAGAAGGGGCTCCCCATCTCCGCACGTCTTTGGGACGAAATATTGACCAGCCCGAGAGCACAGTCCTCGCCCTTGATGGGGCAGCGCCAGAAGAGGGACAGGACGCCCTGCCTTCGCTCAGCGTTGGCTTTGCAGCAGCACCCAAAGCCCTTTCACTAACCAAGGATGCCGTGAAGCCAAGTCTGAGCGAGGGCCATGCGCTGCGGACCCTCGCTCCGCTGTGGTCCAAAGGGGAAGCAAGCGCCAGCCAGCAGCAATTCACAGGACTGTGAAGCCGGGCGAGCAGGACAGGCGGGCCTGCATGAACCCTTCGCCATCCCCCGTCCCTCTGCATGCCAACAGCATTTCTTCCGCGACACTGGCTCGCCCCAAGGGGTAGGGCGCTGTATGAAGAGTCACAGCGGAGTGGGCATGGAGGAGACCGCCTGCCCCCCAGGACCCTGCGGCCCTGCTGCTGTCGGCTTCCTGGGGGGGCCCGGCCGTGGGGGACACTCACCTTGTAGTAGCGGCTGCTGGTGTCGTTCTGGAAGAGGGTGAGGCACTTGCTGTCCAGCCGCCAGTAGTGGCGCTTCCGCTGCAAAAGGGGTGGGGGGCGCAGAGAGAGCCTCAGTGCCATGGGGGTCCCAGGGAGGTGAGGGAAGCCCCCGATCCCCAGGGCGCAGGGCCACCAGGCGAGGCGCCCCCCTCCCCAGCACGCCCTGGCGGGGATTCTGCCCCGGTCTGTCAGCCTGCCCGGCCCACCCGGAGCAAGGGGTTTCATGGCCATGAGCACCACGTTCCAGCAAGGACCAAATTCCACTTCAGGGAAGCTCCCGGGAGCCGGATTCCAGTGTGGGCGGGGCCTAAGGCAAATGGGCGGGCCAACCTTTTCCACAACTGCCCTGTTTTGGGCTGGACAGATCTTTTCCTGCTCATAACTGGCCTTTAGCAGAGGCATTTCAACCACTGGGGGGGGGGGGGGGGGAAAAGAAAAACAGGGAACCCCCAAAGGGCGGGGGGGGGGGGGGGGCACAGGAAGGGGCGTGGCCACTGGCAGGCCTGCCCCTGGTGTCCCCCCTGCCCCGCCTTTGTTTCACCAAATGGGTCGCGGTTTGCAGCATTTCATGCAAAAGCAAAGCAGCCCCAGGACAGAAGAGCAACAGCGCCCTGCCCCAAGGTGCTTACAGAATCTAGTGGGCAGGGACAGCAGTGGTGAAGCGGCACTGCTGTCTGCACAAGATGCTAGACGACTGAAGGAATCCATGGTCCAGCTGTGTGTTCAAAACCGGGCCTCTTGCGCCTCTTCCCCAGCCTCAGTGCTTTTTTTGTCATAGAACACACCGGAATGGAGTTCCGGCACCGTTTTTCGACAGATTTTCCAAGTTTTAAAAGTAACTTTTGAAAATTTGATGTTTGGTCCGCGTGGATTCGAATCGCCCTGTCCAGCGTAGCAGGTCGGCGACAAAATCATTAAAACGGTGCATGCGGGCCGCTTGCGTGTCGAGTCCGATGCGTGCGCACCTCGTCCGCGCTGGTTGTGATGGCGCTGCTCTGCTTGTGATTAGTTGTGTGGTCATGTGCTGAGTGCGTACTGCGGGCGGCGACCATCATGTTTCGTTACACAACTGACGTGTGTGGGTGTGTGTGCAGTGACTGACTACGTGCGAAAGGTGATTTCATGAGTTCCGGCACCTTTTTTCTTACAAAAAGCACTGCCCAGTCCCACGCGCCCCCCGCCCGGGACTCACCAGGGTGTCGGTGCTGCTGAAGTGCACCACCCAGCCTTCCTTCAGGGCCGTGCTGGACTTGCGGGTTGTCTGCCGGACGGACTGCACCACTCGCATCAGCGGGATGTACCCCACGGAGCTGGGGAGGCAAAGGGGCAGAGGGGCCCTTGAAACCGTGCGGCTGAGCACCGGGGGGCCCGAATGGGGCCCCACACACGGCAGATGCAAAGCACAGAGGGAGGCGAGAGGCGACGGGAAGGCTGGACGGATCAGCAGTACGGAGAGCGAGCAACGAGCGACGCGGTGGCCATTCAGGGCGGAAGGACGGCGTCACGGTGAGTCTTTCTTTACAGCGGGAGGCGCTGCAGGAACTGTGGGCCCTGAACGCGCTCCAGCTGTAGCCAGCGGCAAGGGGCGATGCAAGTTGCAAGCCGAAGGCCAGGAGGGTCGCAGCTGCTTCTCCCTGCCTTAAACGCACCGTCTGCGCACCTTCCAAGGAGCTCTGGCTGACACGCATCAGTTACCCCGCCTCCAGTGTATCTTCCCAACAACCCTGTGAGGTAGGCCAGACTAGGAGGGAGAGACTAGCCCAAGGTCACCCTGTGAAATGTACTGCTGGCCATTCCAACACTGTGACCTCACCCAGCCAAGTTCGGGGCCCTCCGACATGTTGGGCCAACTAATTACACGCATTAATCCATTCGCTTCCTTTCTGGGCAGCTGACAAAATCCAGATTAAAACACAGATCACGCCACAATTCAAAACGGTAAGTGGCAGCAGCCCAGCACTGGGACTACCGTCCTCATCATCCCCAGCCAGCCGATCACGGATGTGGTGGCCCATCAGGTTGCGGGAAGCCATCCCCACGTTATCTCTGCGGCATCTCCTGAGGGGAGGGCAGGAAACCCACGGGCGGGGGCGAATTTCTCAACCTGCGGTAGCGGCGATGATGCAGGCGAAGGTAACTGGCTTGGCCCCGGCGGGCATCTCCCAAGGGAGGGGTCGGTGACAGGATGTGGCTCTGGGTCGGAAGGAAGCCAAGGCAGGGCGACCGGGTGGGGCAAACCCTAAAATTGCGGCGGGGGGGGCTGTGTCCACGGCTTCCTGAAGAAATAATAGGGGGTTACCGGGGACACGTGAAATAAAACTGCTAGACCTTTCTTCCCGATATCTGAACAGGTGGATTACAGCGAAGACTCCCACGCAAGGTGCCTCTGCATATTTTGCCTGTGGCAAACGTTCTTGCCCCTTCGGGACGCTCCTGCACAGACTTCCCCTCTCTATGCCTGCCTGCCCTTGGTGCGGATCAAACCGAGTTGCTGCAGCAACGGAATGCGAACAAACACTGCAGCTTCGGTAAAGGGAAGCGAAAGGGCGAATCTGGATGTGAAAGAGCCCGTTTGGTTTCGGGGGCACCCGTCCTCACCCCTGGGATTTGCTGATGTCGTCGGCGTCCTCGCCCATCTGCGGCTCGTTCTCTGAATGGGACCCGGGGATGATGCCAGAATCATCCGACTCGTCCATGAGCGAGTTCTTCTCAGCTTCACTGAGATCACTGGGTTCTTCCATCGGCACATCTGGGGGGGGGGGGGCAGGAGACCAGACGGAAGCCAACAGGTCAGCCTGTCGCGAGGGCTGCCTTCCAGCACCCTCTTCTTGCAATCCAACCACCCAGATCTTGTCTCCTCCCCACTCCATGGGGAGCGGTGCTGCTCCCACGTTTAAACAACCGGGGCGGGGGGAGAGTGGCAATTTCGGTCCACCTTTTTCGGAGTGGCGCAGGCCAGCCCCCTGCCATCCCAGCTGCTCCCTCGATCGAAGTCAACTCAGACCGCTCTTTTCTAAGGCAGAACTTAGAAGCGCCTGCCCCTAAACTCCGGAGCTACACGCGGGGAGCAAGGGGGGGCTGAGAGATGCGAGGCCGGAATCGAGCTTCTGGGAGCCGACAGCGGGCGCGCCACCAGCCTCTCCGTGCGGAGCGCCTCGAGGCCCAGTGCGTGCGGCTCCCCTCTCGGCGACACGTGCCGGAAAGCGAGGCCCGGAGCTACGCCGAGCCCACCCTACGGGCTGAACCCGGTCCCCACCCACACCCCCCACCACCGGAACCGGGGCGCGGCTCACCTCCGCCGTTGAAGAGCGTCTCGCCAAGGCAGTCGTTGGGCACCCGCCTGGCACAGCGCTTGTGGCAGTTGAATTTGCAGTCTGCAAGGCGAGCGAGAGGGCCGTGGGGCCAGGGCTCCATGTGTGGCGGCCGGAAGGGCCTTGGGCCTGGCTGCCCCGCACACGCCTCCCCGCCTCCCCACTGGGGCAGCGCGCGGGCAGCCCGAACCTGCATCGCAACAGGCGGGCGGGCGGCCTGGGGAAAGCGGGGCCCCTCCCACCTGGCCCCCTGCCCAGGTGGGTCCACGCAGGTGCATCCCAGAGCAGCCTGGCAGGAAAAGACCCTCCGCCCCGCAGCCCCATCCAGCCCCTGCCTGAGCTCCCTCGAGGCGCAGACCCAAAGTCGTTGTGTGGGGCAGCTTCCCCCGCCAGCTCCTTCCAGAGGCTGTGGGATCCCGACCCCCAGCAGCCCCCGCCACCATCACCAGCGGCCCAGGGCAGCGTGAACCGTGGGCCAGTAACATTCTGGAGGGCCACGTGCTCCCCGCGCCCAGCCCATGGTGCCCCCAGCGCGCGGCCCCCCAGCCCCATCACCTTTGCACTGGAGTCCCTGCCGGAAGAGCCCCTTGAGGAGCTTCTTGCAGTACTGGCAGACCGTGGGGCGGGTGTAGGAGTGGATGAGGAAGGTGTGGGGCACCTTGACCTTCGAGAGGAAGAGCTTGTCCAGCTCTATGGGGCGCCCGATGTAGGTGGAGGACGCCAGCCGGCGGGGGAAGGTCTCTGCAGAGATGAGGCTCTGGGTGGCGGGAGGCACAGAAAAGGGAGGTAGAAGCGTCCGTGGCAGGCCCCCCCGCCCCCACGTGGGGCAGGATAGCCGGAGCCTGTGGTGCCCGTCCTTCGCAGCCGCCCCTCCTGGCCCATCGGGGCCCTGGCAGACCGTTGGCTTCCTCGCACAGGGCATGTGCCAGAGGGACTCCCCCACAGTCCCAGACCACCCGGGCCGCCCCCCCCAGGCCACGGGCCCTGTGCCCCAGTTCCATCTTTTCCCTGGGAACAGGTGTTTTTGCGGAAAGAAAAAGATGGAAGATGCCCTGGAAAAGCCCAGGGGGGGCAAAGGGAGGACGCGGGTGCCCAGAAAGCCCCCGTGAGGGAGGCGGGGGGGCGGCTTCTGCCACAATGGCCCTGCCCCGGGACGGCCTGATCCGGCGCTGCCGGCCGGCGGCCCACGCTCGCTGGCTCACCAGGTCGTCGGACGTGCAGGACGGGGAGCTGGAGGCGGAGAGGCGCAGCGACTGGGCGCTGGCCAGCGAGGTGGACGAGAGCCGCCGCTTGCGGGCGCCGCTGCAGTTGTTGGGGATGCTGAAGGCGCAGCGCTTGTGGTAGTTCAGGCCGCAGCCTGCGGGGAAAGGCGGCACGGTGGGCAGGCCGGAGGCAGGGGGAGCGCGGGCGGCCCGGCCCCCCAGTGGCCCCCAGAGCCCCGCCCCTGCGCCCCGCCGTGGCGTGGGCACGTCTTCCGGCTCCTGGGCAGCATTTCCCCTGTTCCCACAGCCTGAAAGGCCCCCAGCTCAGTTCCTGGCACTGCTGAAATAGGCTGGGCTGGTCGTGGGGTTTGGGCTCTGCCCGCCACCAGAGGCTTCTCCGAAATTCGGTGGGGCCCTCAGGCAGCCCCCCCACCGCACTGTCCTGGATGGGAAGGCCACCTGGTCCAGCCGGCCAGCCAGCCAGGGCATCCCAGAGCGGGAGGGACGGAGGAGGGGGAAGCGGCTGCAGAGCGGTTCTGATCCTGGGCGTTCCAGCCTCTTCCGCGGGCTGGCCAGCGGGTCTTCCCCCTTCCCAGCCCGGAGAGCGTTCGGCATTGCCGGGCTGTGGGAAGGCTGCAGGGCAGGGAGAGGGAGCAGCTGGCCGCAGGGACGGGGGCCTTCCCCACTTCCTCCCCACATGGCAATTTCTGCGTCCGCCCGTCTTCTGCCCTCCTTCCCCACGGAGCAGCACAGCTCTGTGCACGGCCCCACCTGGGGGGCAGCACCCCGAGAGCCAAGCCACTTCCTTCTCCAGTGCATGAAAACTAGAGCTGACAGTAAGGGGGGAAATGGCGAGTTGTGTGTGTGCGTCGCACACACACTCACAACTTTTCAAAGATGTGGAGATGTTATCGCCCACTGGAATTTTTATTTACAGAGTTCGTGCCGTAGCTTTTCTACACATTGTCATGCAGAGTGCTTTGTAGCAGAGAAAAAGCCGTAAAATGGCTTAAAACAGAAGCGTGCACATGAAGCAGAAGCAGAAAGCAATGGAAATAAAGCACAGGAAGGAAGAGCGATTGTTCCATTTTAGCTGGGAGCGGCACAGATTGCTGTGCTGGGTACCACGGTTGGCTTCCTGAGAATCTCATCTTTCTTTTTCAAAATTTAAGTTTCTAGCCCTCATGGCTGGAAAGAAAGATGTATCGGAAAGCATGTAGGCAATAAGCTGAGGGGGAACCCTGAATGACACAGAGGGACCTGCCCCTGCCATCGCTAGCAAGCCCAGAATGGCCTATGCAAAACGGGACAATATATGTAACGATGGCTTGATTTGCATATGGATGGCCTTGATGCAGAATTCTGCATGCAGGACGCAAAACTGCCATACACATCAGCCTTCAGCCCCAGTGTTTTTGACTATAGCTCCCATTGCCCCATGCAGTGGGGTTAAAGGGGCGGGGATGATGGTAGGCCAAGCGCCCCAAGGGCACCAGGTGCGGGAGGCCAGAGTGCAGGATTAAAGGCACCTTGTGAGATCCGGGCCCAGTGCCCACTCGGCCATTTATCTCTCTCTCCCTCCCTCCCTCCCTCCCTCCCTCTCTCCTGCCTTTTTCCTACCAAGGGCTCAAGGCAGCTTACATCTCCTCCTCCATCTTATCCCTACAACAACAACCCTGTGGGGTAGGTTGGGCTGAGAGTCTGTGACTGGTCCAACGTCACCCAGTTGGCTCCATGGCCGAGCAGGGACTCAAACCCGGATTGCCCGAGTCCCAGTCCATGGTCTTAACCACGACACCACACTGGCCATGAAGCTCAGTGGACGACGCTGAACCAGCCGCTGACTTCTGACCTACCTCGCAGGGTTATTGTGAGCATAAAAAGGAACAGAGGTTGTGCCTCACACAAGCCATATTGAGCTGCTTGGGGGAAACAGCAGGGTGTAAACACACACACACACACACACACACACACACACAAATGTTGCATCGTGTACATGCCCATGCCTCGAAAACACTCCCTTCCTCCCTTCCTGCCGAAACTCCGGACTTCGGGATGCGTCAACGTACCGTCACACTTGAGGCCCTGGCGGACCAGGCCGAAGAGCATCTCTCCGCAGTGGTCGCAGAACGCCGGCGCACGGTAGGAGTGCACATTGAGCGCATGGGGGCGGATCCGGAAGTCCTCGAACGTGGCTGAGGCTGAGAAGGAACAAGAGGGCAGCTCAGCAACCGGGACGAGTCCAGGAGCGCCGGTGGCTCAGCTGGGAGGATTGCGGCACATGAACCCGCTTTCTACGCCCTGGACGGCCACGGCGGCTGGGGATGATAGGGGTCGTGGTCCAGCACCTCCAGCAGCCTGGGCAGGGTTCCACGGGGGGGGCGGGGGCACTAAGAGTCTGCTAAACTGGATCGATGGAGAATGTGTCTAGCAGACTATTTTGAAATAGGGAAATAACACCGACTAGGATTTCTCCAGGCTGAGGAAGCCCCAAATCGTCGGAGGGCAGAGGAGACACTCGAGCACGCAGCAGCTCTCTGGAAATCGGCCCGTTCCCTTTTTGCCTGCTGACAACCAAGCAACCCTTGCACGTCCCTGGATCTGCACCTGTTTAAATGCACGGCAATGCACAGCCGTTCTGCAGCGGTGACGCCACACTTTCAAGAAACTGGACATGTGGAACCCTGGAGACAGAAAGACTGCCCATGATCTGACTCTATCTCACTGCAGTATTCATCAGAACCAAGCCAGGATAGCTCAAGCCCCAGGGATGGTTCAAAGTCCCGGGTTCAAATTCAGCTGCAAAGCAAATGGGTCTCCTCAGCTGAGCTGTCCTTGACAGCGCTCCCGCTGACACGAAATCGGGTTTTAAGAACCGCAGCTGCCACCCCAGACAGAACCTGAGAAGCAGGAACCAAGTGGCGAGGGAAAGAAGGCACTCTGTACTCTGTCAGAGGCACTCCTGGTTTAACCACTCCATGCGCCACGCAGCGTGATTCAGAAACAGGTTCTCTCGGCTCACGCTGACTCCTGTCCCCCAGAGGGACTGGGAATCGGTTCCCCTACACAAGCCGGAGCTGAATTTATTTAGAAGTGGGCACCAGGTCACCTCGAGACGATCAAGCGAGGCCATGAAACTGAGCCACCGAGAAGGCACGGTAAGAGGACCCGAGGGGCAGGTACCCCAGGGGCTCTTGTTTTCCAAAGCTCGCTCGTCCGTTCGATTTCACCGAGACGGCCCCATGGCGTCGACGCTCACAAGGCCGCGTTCCGCCTCTGGGGACAGGCGCCGTGTGCCGCAGGCCCGGCTGGGCTGGGCTGGGCACGGCGTGTCCCGGGGAGAGCTGCGTGGGAGGCTGGGAGGCTTCGCTGTACCAAACAAAGGCCATTCCAACGCAGGCAAGGCCGGGCGCGCTGCCAGCCCCACATAAAACGGCCAGCCGGACTGCAGGCGCCAGCATCTCTCCACCTGCTCCCCGCAACCTCCAGTTACGGACTTCTACCAGCTCGCGGCTCCCTCTGCTTGGAGCACCAGGTCAAAATCCGGGCACCCATTTCCGGGGGTCCCTCCACGGGCGGTCACCAGGCAGGTGGGAGAGAGGTCTCTGCCCCTCCGGTGCGGGAGGCTGCCCAGCAGGAAATTTCAGGGCCGAGAGCAGCTGCCTCCCCTTCCCTCCAGACACCAAAGGGGTTGCCTGCCCCGAAACCCACATCCTGCCTCGGTTGCCTACGTATCGGATTTGGAAACATCACCTGCCTGACATGATGATCTAGGCCAGGAGAGAGAAAGAGAGCGCGAGCGAGCAAGCGAGAGAAAGCGTTGCGCCGCTACCTCGACGTCGGCAGTGGGAAGTTCCCAGGAGGCTCTGATGCCTGAGAAAGTGGAAAGTATCAACCCCAGACTGAAATCTTGCGCATTCGTCCTTCTCAGCGTGTTTAGATCACTGCTGGGTTTCTGCTCTGGCATGTGTCTGCTCTTCGCTGCCCACGTCACCTTGGCTTTTACTACCTTCTGCTGCAGGGTGGGGCTCACGGGAGGCCGGGGGGCTCTCTTCTGCCTGACCGCACCTGGGGTGGGCCCCTGCACCTGCTTACCTGAGAGGACCACCTCCACCAGGTCCCCCTCCTGGATGTCGCAGGCCGTGCGGACCAGCTGCAGGATGTTGGCCGAGGAAGGGTCATGCTTGAAAAGCAGGATCTTGTCATAGAGGCCGTAGAAGCCGCACTCGGGAAACTGCCAGGAGAGAGAGGGAGAGGAAGAGTGAGGGGAGCGCCGGGCCACAAGCCCCAGCCAGGCATGTGGTTTTGTGTGAAAGACTCCTGCCAGGGACGCTGGGGAGGATGGAAGGGGAAGAGCTCAGACTGCAATCGTGGGCAGTGCAGATCAGCAATCTAAGCTGCATGAGGCTGTTGCTTCAGCTCTGATGGCCCAACTCATCCTTCTGCTGCTTAGGAAATCCTCTCGGGGCTGCATTTCACTTTGCAAAGAGAGTTCTGATTAGGAGACTTTTCATTCATCTCCTGGCAGCTAAAGAAATATACTGCCTTTCAATGCTCTTCAATGCACTTCTGTGTTGTCCAACTAACCCTAAGGACACCTGAAAGAGGGTAGCATTTAACAGGCTGCTTTTAACCCTGCCTGGGCAAGGCACAAATCTACAGATCTGAGGGTAGTCGAAATTTCAATCCCTTCACATTCCTTGAGGTCACTTCTGGCAGCCGTAAACTCTGAAAAAGAAACCCCGCTGCGAACGGTTGGCTCTCAACATGGACAAGACTGCCGGTCTCAGTGCCCGTGACCCGTAACAATCAGTTCCAGGCAATCAGCTGGAGAACTGCCTGGAAACTGAAAGACAAACGGCTCTTTCTTGCTGCGCTCTGTCGACGCATCACGATTCCACACGAGTGGTAGAAAAACGTGGGCGAAAGAACTGCCGGCTCGCAGCGCTCCATGTGGAACCGCTCCGCTCGAGCCCTGCCCGCCGGGGGGGGGGGGGGACCGGCCTGTGTAATGCAGGGAGGCCACCGCAAAGTGTGTGCTCGCACAACTGTTGCCCACCCGCAGCACTGGTGTCACGCTGCATGTATATCCCACGTGCGGGGCTGCAAGGCTCCTTCCCCTACCAAGGGGCTTGTGAGGCTCCCTTCTTCTGCATACCATCCCCACCACAACAGCCCTGCAAGGTAGGTTAGGCTGAGAGGCAGTGACGGGCCCAAAGCTACCCAGTGCGCTTTGTGGCTGTCGGGACCGGAACCCAGAACACCTGGGTCCCCGTCCCCTGCACTGGGGATCCAGAAGACTGCCTGGGCGGGGGCCAACCTGGTCCTTCTTTTTCCGTGCTGGGAGACGAGGGGCAAACGGACCGGACGGCAGCGACCTGCACCCCGACTGCGCCTTCCCCGGCTGGAGGGGCTTGGAGGCCCGGCTCCCCCCGGGGGATCCCCAGAGGGCTCCGCAGGCCGGATGCGAGGCCAGGTCCACACGCCCGAGGTGCTGCCTGCGCATTCTCGGTGTGGCCACGCTCCAGCGCACTGGCAGTGTGTGAACAAACCAGCAGAGACGCGCCGCGCGACAAGCAAGCGCCCGAAACCATTCAGGCTCTCCGGCTGCCAGAAGCTGCTATGCAAATACGGGCGGCTGTTTTTAACCAGACGCTGACCCGTTCCAGTTGGCCTCCGACCCCTCCCTCCCCATCCAGACAATCACACAGTGGCAAGACGGGGCGATTCCTGCCCCAACCGGCTCCCCACCCCCAGAAATCACCAAAACAAAGCACGGCACATAAGAAGACGGGTGCCGTCCTCCTGTCTCAGCCTGGGCAACCAGCAGAGTTTGCGGCCATTTTGCTGTTGAACTTTGGACACCGAGCACCCCGGGAATCGCTTGAGCCGAGGGCCCCGGCAAGCTGCGGGAGACAACCCCAAGTTCTGCAGAAATGCAAGCCACACGTGGCCTCTCAGGCATGCCCCAGACCGCCCCCCGGGAGCTGCAAACACAGCGCCACTGAGCCCGCTGGCTGAGCCCTGGAGAAGAGTGCCCGGCGAGGGGAAGTCGGGGGCAGGAGAAGAAAGGCAGACGAAACGAGAGACGGGCCGTCTCTGCAAAGGAAGCCGCGGCCTTGAGCTGGGAAGAGCTGAGCGAGGCTGCCGTGGACAGGGAATCGTGGGGGCATCGCGCCAGGGTCGCCACAACCCGGAGGCGACTCCATGGCGCGTAACAACACGCGGCTCGACATAACAAACCTCTGAGCAGCTTCCAAGCAAAGAGTTCAAAACACATGCACGATCGCAGCCCCGGAAGATTTCAGCTTCCAGAGAAGGACACCAGGTCAAAGGCAGTCGTGTAGGAAGAGACGGAATATGGAAGCAGCTTCGTGGCAGCCGATTATGTGCCAGTGAAAGCGGCAACAAGACCCTTGCTTTCGGGGTTTCCACATTTTCCGCCTCCCGGTTCATCCAGGGGAGGGTGCTTCAGAGTCCGGGTATCCACAGCAGGCCCCAGAGGTCAAATATTTGGGGCAGGGCTGGATTCCCCACCTGTCCAGGTATATCTGCGCCCTGCGTCAGCATGAGCACAGGTCTCTGCCCCGCCTTGACAGGAGCAGAAGGGCTGAAGGCACGTGGACAGAGGGGAGCCCCCAGGCCCCCGCCCGGTCACCCCGTGCCGGGCACGAGGGGCACAGCGACCCACCCATGTGTCCCATCAACTGGAATACGGCCTCCCACCCGGAGGCAGCAGTGAGCCACGAATCTGTGCCCCCCTATTTAAATCGGTGGCCACCTTCCGCTAGCACATTTCCCAGCGCAGCTGTGCAGGGTGAGAAGAAGGCCTTCCTTTTCTGACGGGGGTGTGAAACTCCCAGCAGCCATCTTCCGCCACACCGGGCACGACTGTGACTCACGCCTCCCCTCCCCTGCCCGTTTTCTGAGCTGAAGGACCCCACGTCCCTCCGACCCTCCCTGCCTGCCTGCCTGCCTCGCAGCCCCTGCCCCGAGTCGCGCTCTCCGTGCGCCTCCTTTAGGCGTCTCCAGGCAGGACCGTCTTTGGGCGCAGGGGCCGGGGCTGCCCGTGCCCCTCCACGTGCGGTCGCACCAGCCGTTCATGCAAGGGCCGGTTCTTTTCCGATTCCTTTCCTGCTGCAGGAAGTGCCTTCTTGTCGCCGGCACACACGGGGTCAGCACCTTCCTCTCGCACGACCCCGAGCGTGCCTCCTCGGCCTCGCCGAGACCCCGTCGGCGTGCACGAGGCTCTGCCCTTGCCCACCTCCGGCTGCCTCGGCTCCTCTCCTGGGCGGCACCTGGGCCAGTGCGGCAGGAGTTAACCTCTGAATCACGCGTCTCCTGGCTGCCCAAAGCGTTCCAGCTGGGCAGGAAGCGGCGTCCCAAGGAGAGGCCATAAACCAGGCGCTCGCTCGCTCGCTCGCTCCGGGCCAGGCTGAGCCCCGCAGGGCTGCCGTCTGTGACTCACCCAGCCGGGAAGCAAGGCCACGTCCAGGCGACGCGGCGTGGTGCAGAAAGGAGCCGGTCCTCTCCGCAGGGGACCTGGGGGGCCAGAAGCACGGCACCGTGGGTGGGGCCACGAGCGCCATGTGGGCAGAACCATGATTGTGGGGTGGCGCTCTGTAGAAATGAGAAAAGGTCTCTGCCCCTAGGAGCATCCCCTCCATAGTTCAGTCAGTGACGGCTCCTTCCGAAGTCAAACAGTTGCAAGATGACGTGTGAGTTTTCCCTCTCGAAGAATTATTTGGGGGAGGGGGAGTGAGGGGGGCCCCGCTCCGAAGGGGGGGCCAAAAGGGGACTTCTGTGTCCATCCGGCTCAGCACAGACTGGGCATGGGGAGAACGGCCGTCCTGGGGCACTGTTCCCACGGACTGCTGGCTGCATTCCAGATGATGATTCGGGATCGGAAAGCGAAGCACGTTTGGTGAGGCTGGGGAGGATGGGCTAGGGCAAGACGCTGAGATGGAGGAAGAGGAGGAGATGATCCCGAGGCCAGACGCTTCGCCGGGCCAGGCGGTGCCTGGGAATGACCGCGATGAACAGCCGGTGGTCTCTGAGGGCGAGGAACTCTCACACACGGACCGCCCCCCCCGGCCCCCCGGCCAGGCGACAGCAGAGATGGGAGTCCCAGCTGAATACGCAGTGGTGTGCTCGCCCTCGGAGAGCCCCTCCCGAGGGATGGGGCCCAGGCATGTTCATACAGAGATCCTGGAAGGAAACACTGGACAGAGTGCAACAAAGCACTCTGTGCATGCTCAGAGATCCATTCTGGGTGACTTGTACTTGGGCGCAATCGAGCGAGTTTGCATGGAAAATGATCAGCAGCTGGCGAATGCTCAGAGGCCTCGCAGCTCGTGGCACCCAGACGGGGCCGTCCCAAGGCAGCCGGTGCCCCAGGCGAGGCCCGATTCTGCCCGCCCCTCACACCTACTGACGTTCCCAAGCAGCATGCAGTGGGCTCACGGGGGGGGGGGCAGGGATGGTGGGACGGTGACGAGTGGGCAGCTGTCCAGCCTCTCCAGCGCCTGCACGGGCTGAACACCCCCCTTGCCCGATTTCCGGGCTGACTCGCTCAGCTTGCAGCCTCTTGCCCGTTCACCCCTCACCCTCCCAGGAAAACACACCCCATCCATTCTCCTCCGCTACTCCCCCCACGTGCCACAAATGGACCACCCGCACTTGGGGGGCCGCAGCATGCTCCAAGCCCATCTCTTCTGCACATGCTCAAAAGCACGGCCTTCCCTGCTGCCCAGGGCATGCGATGAGGCACAGACCAGTGCTGAAAAGCGCAGTGCAAAGCCGAGAAGTGCCTGCAGCAGCCCGGCATGAAGATTAACTCCGGCAGCCTGGCTTTCTGCCCCATCTCCCCGTGGTTGGAGGCACCAGGAGCAGGGACCAAGGAGGGGGCCCTGTGGGGGGAAGAAGCGGCCCAAGAGCACCGTCCCATCCCACCTCAAGATGCGCTTCACAGCGATGCTTTTGCTTAAGAGGGCATTTGATAAAAAGCCAACCTTCTTCCTCGTGATTTTCATAGCATTCATGGAGCAGTCTTACTGTCGTTCCATGTCTTGCTTTCTCAACATAGTTTTTAGAGGTTACATTACTTTTTTTTCAGCCAATGTCACTTTGGGTGCATTTTCACACAGAAAAAGCAGATTAAAATAAAGTTAAATAAAAGGAAAGCCAATTTCAGGACCCAGCGACAGGAAGCCCTACCTGTAAAAATAGAGTTACAGAGTCCCTATCACGGCACCATGCTGCTTCCTGAGATGTCAGCTTTAATTTAGATGAACAAAGCACAAGTTTCCAGGCCTTATGGGTGTTATAAAAGCCAAAGAGGTGGTCAGTGAGGATTCACAGTGGCCACGGGTCCTTGTGACCCTTGGTCATAATGAGCATGACCAGAATGAATGATTAAAAAAGAGGCAAAACTGGTTGCAGATTAAAGTATGCAAAATAAGAAAGTTTACATAAATTGGCTCTCAGTCTGCATGTTCTCGTATTTTGAGTGCCCAAAATGTACATCCGTCCCTCTTTAAATAATAACAGCATCAGCATGCAAAATGCACAGCCCCAGGCGTTAGAGAAAGCAACCTGGGCAAGCAGCTCCCACTGGACAGCCAGGCAGCCGGGAACAGGTCTGTGCTTTGGGACAGCGAACCCAGGCGTTCCAGCAAGAGGGACACGGAGCACATCTCTCCGCACACACGCACACACGTACGCACGCACGTGTGGCCTGGCCCGGCTGAACCCTCCCTCCCCGGTGCTCCTGCACAGACCATCCCAAGTTTCCTTCAGCCGCACCAAAGGATGTGGACGGAGACGGTTCCATCCTGGAGACATCAGAGATTATCGCGCAGCCCCTCAGAACAGCAAGGTTTCCCTTTCCTGCTCGGTGGACACGGCCTGCCAGCAGGCTTCCGCTCCTTTGCCGAAACATGAAATACAAGTATATATAGCAACGGGCCCTGGACCAGCTGCGAGGGGCAGGCCGGGAGACAGGCAGCCACAGTCCGCCGCCTCTCTTCCCCTGCGACACCCCCTCCAGGGGCTCTGTGGCCTGCTACACCCACAGGCTTGCTGGGGGGGCCTCAGGTGAGCCCTCCTTCTCCACCGCGGGCCTGCACCCCAATTCTTCCCTCACCTGCCTTGCAGGACCGTTCCCTTAAAGAAAGTCTCAGGAGCACAAGCCGGGAAGCCCTGCACCAGCCTCGCTGCGTCTCCAGGCAGAGCGTGCAACCCGATGTCGCAGCGCGGAGTGCGCCTCGCCGAGGATTCCAGGCGCTCTGTGCCCTTCCCTCCCTCCTTCCCACAAGCGGGTCCTTCCACTGCCGGGTGTTTTTCTCTCTCAGGATCCGCTGCATTTCTGCAAGCCTTGCTCCTACGCTGGTGTCAGGCTGGCTGCAAGACTCGTTTCGCTGCGGACTGGAACCAGCCAGCGGCTTCACAGGGGCAAGCCCATGCAGCCCCCCCCCCCCCCCCCGGCCCCCCGCATTGGGCTGCGACTCCTGACATCCCCGACAGCAGGGCCTCTGGAGAGGGTGATGGGAATTGTAGTCTGGCACCTCAGAAGGACACTTGGTTGGCTATGGCTGCACCAACCCATCAGCCTCAGAGCATCCCCTGCCTCCCTACCGGGGGGGCCCTTCTGCAGCCGCCCCTCTGAGATGCAGAAGAAGGGGAGTGTCAGCTCACAGAGTACTCGGGGTGAGGGCAGCCGGAACGGGGTTTCCTGCATGCCCAGGAACACAGGAAGCGCCCTGGGGGCAGAGCACACCCCGGCCCTGCTCCTGCTCCGCAGGGATTCATCGGCTGCCTGCCATCAGCCCGGGGCCTCTTCCGGGCTTCACACATTCAGAAGGACTTGGACTACCCGGTGCGAGTTCAGGGAAGGGAAGCGCAAAGGTTCCCAGGGAAGAAACTCCCGCAGGGGAAGAACGAAGGAACGGGCATCCTGGGGCTTGAGAAGGAAAGGCTGTGGGGGCGAGCGGGGGGGGGAACAGTGGGGAAGAGCCTGTCTTCTGACATCCAGGCCCCCAGGACCGAAATAGCAGCCTCAGGCCACAAGAAGGATGAAACCCTTCCCAGCGTCAGAGCAGCGAGGAGATGGGACTGACCGGCTGGGCGCTGGGAGGGGGACGGTCTTGGGCCACCGCTCCCACGGAGGGCTGGCTGCGTTCCAGACAATTCTTTGGAACAGGAAAATGGAATTTCATTGTCAGTGAGACTGGGGAAGATGGGCTAGGTCAGGATTCTGCGATGTAGGAAGAGGAGGTGCTTTGCCGAGCCATAGAGCCAGCATGAGGGGTAGCGAGGCACTCTGTGCATGCCCAGAAATCCATTCTGGTTGATTTGGACTTGGGAGCAATAAAGAAGGTTTTGTAAGGAAGAGAATCTGTGGCTTTTGACTACTCGGCTCATGACATGGGCGGGGGGCTCCCCATTACTGGGGGTCTTCAGGCAGAGACTGGACAGCCTGTGTCGGGGGGCTGAGCCCGGATCCCTTCACCAAACAGACATGGACTGAAGGGGCCCAGCACCCCCCCGTCTCGCTTTCACATACCCAGCTCACCTGCCGCTCCTTTCTGACACCCCCCAGGTCCTTGGCCACCTTCTTGCTTCAGTGGATGCTCTCCTCTCTCTTCCCTCCCCTCCTCATCTTATTTATTTATTGACTGATTGATTTATATCCTGCCTTTTTCCTCAAAGGGCTCAAGGCAGCTTACCTCATTCTCCTCCTCCATCTTATCCCCACCACAACAACCCTGTGAGGTAGGCTGGGCTGAGAGTCTGTGACTGACCCAGAGTCCCCCAGTGGGCTCCATGGCCGCGCGGGGACTCGAGCCCGGGTCATCTGAGTCCCAGACCCATGCGCTTAATCACGACGCCACACTGGCTCTCTATCGCATAACTAAAACATGCAAAATGTACAAATGCAAAACCAGGCAGGCTCCGCTCCATGCGCTGCCCATGCGCTGCTCTTTGCTTCCGCTGTTTCACCTTTCCATCCCTCCGCAGCAGCACAAGGAAGTACCTCTTCCCTTTATCTCCCCAACAACCCTGCAAGGTAGGCTAGGCTGGGAATGACCAACTCAAACAGCACATGGGGTGATTCATATCTAAGGAGGCATTTCAAACAGAGGATCGCCGATTGTCTTTGGTAGGGCCATTAACCAAGTGCCCGTTTGGCAGAAGCCGGGGAGGTTCCAACACGTAGGCTGGCACTCCAAAGGCTTTGGAGAAATGGACCGAGTCAGTCCAGGCCAAAGGGGCCATCTCCACACAAACCACACGTTTACGGGTGGGTGAGCACACAGCTGGATCCAGTGTACATACACAGCCTCCAGCAGATGCACGAGGGGCCGTGGAAGCCCAGGGCACACGGTGTCCATGTGCAGTGAGATGTACACAGGCAAACCTCTTACAGAACCACTGATGTCCTCGTCTAAGAAAAACCAGAGCTCAAAATGCCACCAATCTTGAAGGAGGCATTTCAAATATCATTAAATATAGGATGCTAATTATTAATTGCACAGTGCACTGATAAAGGTGTCCCTTTGCAGGGCGAACGCACAGTTTAAAAACCTCGCCAAAAAGTCGCTGCCCCGAGGAGTCTGCAATCTAACGTTCGACACTAGGGGAGACAAAGACGCAGGGCCCGCTTTTGGCTGCAGCTGCGGAGGAAGGCGAACGTCTGTAAAGGCGACACCGGAGCGGGCGTGCAGATGCTGCGTTCCAGCACACCTAGTGAAGTTTCGATCGGTATTAAAATCGCGCCTTCCTCGGCTTTGCTCGCGGCGAGGGATGGAAAGGAGGTCGCGCCAGGCTCGGCAGGGAGGGTCGCGGGCCAAAAGCGCGGGACTTAGCGCGGGGCCACTCGCTCGAACGGAGCCCGGGGAGCTGAGTCGCGGGCCGCCTCCCACGCCGCGCGGGGCCCGGGCCCGTCCTCGCGCGGAGGCGCGCTCCCCCGCCGCCTCCCTCCCCGGACCCACCTTCTGATCCACGATGGAGCACGCCAGTTGCTTGACGTGGGCGAGATCGGAGGGCGCGGGCAGGAGGACGAACTCGCGGCTCAGCCCGATCTGGATGTGGAAGGAGACGCCGTGGCACGGGGCCGGGGCGCACGCCGGCGCTGGCTCGGGCGCCGCTCCTCCGGGGCTGGCCGGGGCGAAGGACGCGGCGGCGGCGGCGGCGGCGGCGGTCGGGGAGGCCATGGCGCGGGGCCCAAGCGACGGGTCTGCCCCCCGGCCCCCGCCAGAGCGGATCTCACATGGATGGAGCCGAAGCGCCACGCCGGCCAGGCGCGCCCGCGAACGCGCACGACCAGCGCCCCGACGCCGCGCCGCGCTCCGCTCCGCTCGCCCCAACAAACTTTCTTTCTCGCTCGGCTTTCCCCTGAGAAGGAAGTGCGGTGAGTGACAGGCCGCGGGGCCAATGGCAGGCGGCGGGGATGAAGTCACGACACCCCGCCCCGCCGCTCCGGAGTGGATCCGGAACGACCTGCGCGCCGCGGGGGAACCGCGGGGGAGGAAGGCGGCTCTGCGCCCCGGCGGCGCGGCCGTGGCCGGCGAGCCCCGCTGCTCGGCGCTTGATGGGGATTCGGGGTCCGGGGCGGGGACGTCGCCAGGTGGGTGCGACGAGAGCGCCTCTGAGCTTGTGCAGAATCCCCCCCTTGAGTCCAGCCAGACTCCATTCCTGGCTCAAGGAAGGACTGCAGGTGAGTTTTGAAGCTCTCCTCTCCTCTGTCTTCTGAAGAAACTCGGCACTGACGCGTAGAGAAACGGTCTCTTACAGGAAGCTTTTCCACCCGTCGGAGAGGCGTGCTCTGCGCCCCGCCAGCTGTTGCAGCTTCCCCGGAGCGTGCAGGGAGACGAGCACAAGCCGGCCGTGCCCGCCGTCGGAGCGGTCGGCGTGGAGCAAAGGAGCTGAGCCCTCCGGCGGCGCTGGACGGCAGCTTCCAGCGTCCCCAGCCGCCCTACTCGCCGAAAATGATGGGTGTTGCAGCCCAGCTCCTTTGAAGCTGTCCGGCTGGGGAAGAGTGGCATGGGCACGGCTGGCAGGGGGTGCCTGAGGCGGCTGGCTCGCCTTGCCGAAAATCGGAGCGCACCCAGCGCTGCCCGGGGCCCTGCAAGCCTCCCCCGAGTCCCGACTGCAGAGAGCAAGCGCGACGGCGTGCGCTTCCGCTCCTTTGCGCGAGGCTTCCCGTGCGCCGCTTAAGCCCCTCAAGGTTTGTCTGGGATGAGAGACTCGCGGCTTTTGCTCGCGCCAGACAAGAGGCTTCAAAGAGGCCTCCTCCTGGGAGAGAGGCCCTTGCATCCCGGCCTCGGCGCCCCCGCCCCCAGGCAAAGGAAATCCTTCCCTGCTCCAGGCCGGCAGCGCCCTGTTCCCGGCAGCAGCTCCGTCCCCTCCCGTTTGAGCGGCGAATGCCAAGCGCATCCCTGAGGGGCGGGAGATGCCGAGGGAGCTGCGTGCCTGGAGCAGGGAAGCGCCCATTCCTGCGCAGCAACCAAATCTCAGCCCACTCTCTGGGACCAAAAGGCGAACCCAGCCGCCCAGGTGGAACTGAATTCCAGTGCCAGCGCATTCTCGCAAGGAAAACTCAGTCCCGGGGCAGACAGAAAGCCTCCTTCCCCAGCCCAGTTCCCTCGGGCTGCAGCTCCCAGCTGAGCAAGGTTGGCAAGGGGAACCACAGGGGCCCAGTGTGGCTGGATTTTCCCAAGGAATGCTGGGAAAGGCGAGCCACTTGCTGGGCTGATGCACCTTCCCGAGGAAGGCAGGCTAAAGCGCCTGGGGCTGGTGTGCAGGGAGAGAGCAGGCCCTTTGAGGGAAGCAGGTGGGCTTATGCAGGGTCTGGACCAAGCGGGCCGGGAGAAGGTTCCCTCCCTTGCCCAAGGGAGACCCTCCCCAGGGCCTGGAGGGGTTCATTGCCCCCAGCCGGCACGCGCCAGCCATGGGCGCGGAAGACCTTTGCCTCCAGCAGCTGCTTTCCTGCGCTGAGCAAGGCCGGCCAGAGCGGATTGTTACAAGCCACCCTGAAGCCCTGCTGAAACCCTGCTGAGCCCGGGGTTCTGGAGGCTAGTTGCCACGCACAAGCCCTGCCGGGGCCCCCTGCCGGGGAGCCGCCCTGCTGGAGAGTCACGGCAATCCCCCCTTTCCCCGGCACACCCAGAATAAGCCACAGTGGCTTATTAACCGCTCGGTGATGGGGCAGGGCAGGGCTGGCAGCAGCTGCCCGGGATTCCAGGCAGGGGTCGTTCCCAGCCCCCACTCGGGGGTTGAAACCAGGACCTTCCAACCGCAAAGCAGGCGCTTTTCCACCGAGTGACCGCCGCTTCCCAAGGGGAATCGACCGCAGCCCTTCATGCCTTCTGGAGGCCACGATCAGCTTCACTTCCAGTGAGACAGCAGTGAGAGCTCCTGGAGGATTTGGGGAAGTCTCCAGGTTTCCATCGTCCTGGTAGCAGCCCGGGAGGGTTTCGTGCAGAGGCTGCACTCGTCTTAGGAGAGCTGCGAGTCCTTCGAGGCGCAGCCCTCTGCGTGCCGAAGCAGGAGGGGACCCTGCCTTCCCGGCGTGCCCCCGTCAGCCGGGCTGAAGATGCAGGGCCCCTTTCCTGGCTGAGCTGCAAGGACTTGCACCATCACGTGGCTGCTCTCGTCTGCTGAACAGTCCAAGCTTTCATTCATGGAGTCCCAGGTGCGAATCGTTGCCTTGGATGCTTCAACAGCCCGGACAAGCCGCTCCCTCTGGAGCCTCAGAGCAACACTCTGGCTACTGTGCCACACGCCTCGCTGACCATGAGCCGTGCTGGAGGGTTCTGGGGAGTTCTTTGTGGCAAGCGCTGAGTGCTCCACCTTCTGCCCGTTCTGTCACAGTATAAGTCTGTGTGTATATTCCCAGGGGTGCTTCCTCCCACAGGCTGCAGCTCTTAAGTCGATCAATCTACCGATCCCGCAAGACTAGAAAAGTTATTGACTTTCAACAGTGTTTGCTAGACCAGTTGTCTCTATCTATCTCTGTCAGCTATTTGCAGGACTGACACCCTAGAAGGAAGCAACTGCAAAATCCAACTCTTTCCCAGTTTGCAAAATACTTCTTTACGTGGTCGCCTGGGCGGCAGGTTTTACTCACCAAAGGCGAGTGCGGCACGTGACTGTTTACGGAGCTGCATTAACCTTGCGCAGTAAACAAGTGAACGCAGCCTGGGGAAGGCAGCTTTACTTGGCTAGCACTTCGGATGTATCCCTGCTCTTCCAGGAGAAAAGGAGTCGGATTCCTATTTGGTTTCCTCAGCTTGGTCCCACTCCGCTTCGGAGGCTGATCCCTCTTTGATTTGTGCAGGACATCCACCGCAGTAAACAGCAAACACACTTGTGCAGCTGTGCTGAAGATAATGGATGCACCAGTTTTTAGGAGCTGGACGTTTCCTTCTGGAGGTGTATAGAGGCACCATTTCTAATGCAAATTAGATGCTTAGCATTCTAACCAGGATTTCTGTCCACATAGGTCATGGATGCAGAATCCTGAGATTCCTCTGGTCATCCAGTGGTTTCCCGGCTTTTGCTCCTGCTTTTTCTGTTCTAAAAAGATGTAAATCTCTCGTTGTCATGAAGCCTTCAATTAAAACATGCTTTCTTTGGTTTTGCATTTTAACTCCTTCCCTTTCCCTTTTGCTAAGCACCCGGAGCGCTTCCAGCGTACACTGTGGCCTCACTCTGCCGTGTCGGCCTGGCAGGCCTGCGTGTGCAGTTGCCAGTTTGGGGAACTGGTTCGTCTGGAGCCTTGCCTTTGAGCATTGACGATCCACCCCGAGTGACTTCACAAAAGACCACGAAATGGAGGATATGCAGAGCGACTTGGCCTACAAAGCACGGATTGTCTTCGGAGCACAAGCAGTGGTCTTATACCACTCCTGACCCCATCAGGAGTGAGGTTACCTATGCACTGACCGGCTGCTTTGGGCAGGTGCCCTTTGCCAGCCCAAGCTGGGGACACCCCGGATGCAACCTGCTCGCATGCACTTCCCTTTGGGTACAGCATCTTGCCAGGGTGTGGTTGCTTCCCACACCCTACTGAAAAATCTAGCAAACAGGTGGAGTTGGAGAAGCAGATCATTTTAGGCGGGGCTGCCGCCTTCCGGTCTCCAGTCTTGCCAACATCCTCTTGGCGGGAAAGATGCTCTGGGGCAGGCTGGCCTGAACTCCCTTATGGCACACACGGCCCAGGAATCACAAGGCCCAGAAACCTGGAAGTGTTCGCCTAGCGCCTCCCATCAGCATGCAACCGAGTGCCCTGGTGAGCATCCGCATCGCTCACTGGAGCGATCACGGTCACGGAAAACATCTTGGCATGTTTACCATCCATGTGCTGCCAGGCGTTGTGCCCAGAAATTCCCCCGAGGAGTGCAGGTCTCTGAGAAGCAGAAAAGCAGCTAAAGGGATTGCTGGATAGGTGTTCCTTGGGAGGCGAAAAGGCAGAATATAAATGTAATAAATAAATAAATCCAAGTGATGAGAACGCAGAGCATCTCTGCGAGGGAAGGCTGACGTCCCTGAAACGTGTCAGCTGATGACACAGGATCGGTTGTGGGGAGGATGCAATATAGGTTTGTGGGATTGTGCCGTCTCTAGGTGCCCCCACCAAGTGAAACCAGGTGCCTGGGCTGTGAAGCAGCCGGCCTTCGCGGTGGTGGCCCCCCATTCCTGGGATTGCCCTCCCCATGGTGTCCTAGCTGGTGCGGCATCAGCGGAAGACCCTCTCATTTCCTGCAGCATGTTAGGACTTGCACTTTGGTTCTTGGCTGCTGGTTTTATTGGCGCGGTTTCTGTTCGTTGTTTCTCTGCTTTTTTTGCTTGCGCCTGCCTGCCTGGCGGTGTCAGATCCCAAAAAGCAGCAGAATGCGCCTCTGTGCCCAGCTGGCGGGACTCTGGGCACACGGTCGGTAGAGGCAGCGAGGTGACGAAATGACTTGTGATCCAACACGGCGCTTCTGTGCTCAGGTGGGACGACCTGGCTGATCCATGTCTGCACCTGGTGTGGAATTTATCCAGCAGCGGTGTGGGAACGCTCCTGAACATTGTTCCGTATTTGCAGAAGGGGTGCGGAAAATGTCTCTGGCGGGACTTCAGAGCCACTGATCTCCCACAGTCGTTTCAT